AATTGTTAACAAACCCAAAGTAATAATAAAATTCCAAATTATCTTTCCAAATGGTACATTAAGATGAATCATTTAAGAAGTACCAAAAGCAAAAACACAAAATAGTTAAAATAAAAACATCAAATGGGCAAGATTATTAGGATCAGATGTAAAAAACATCATAAACTCTGCAAATATATATGTATTCATAAATCCAGTTAAAGCTGCTGAAATAACTACTTCATAAAATAATTCTTATAACCATCTAAAATTAGATTTAAAGCATTTGTAAGCTTAAGGTTAATATTAAGGAAGCATTAATTCTATCTATTCATGGCTTGATCTATCTTCAAATGAAGGTAGTAAACCATTAATAATTATATGAATTTGAAGTGCTAATAAATATACTACATGTTCTTCTATATAAAGTGTTCTTCTCACACAAACAAATAAAGTGAATATGATTAATTAATATAAACTTATTTTTGTACACATAACAGTTAATTAACTAAGATGCATAGGAAGTATCTTAGCAAAATATAATACTAATTATTTAATGTGCTATAAATCATTTACTTAAATATTTTAATAAGCTATTTTTAATGATCTTTTTTCTCTTGAAAATTAAATAGAAGCATTTGCATGTGAATTCATATTAAAATCATCAACTGAATCTGAAATAGTTAAAAGTGTATTACTAGGTTCCATAATCTTAGCAACTGCTTTTGTAATTAATTCTTTATCTGCAGAAGAACAATCATAAGCAATTACAGTTTTAAGAATTAAAGCAATAAAAAGAAAATGGCTTTTTGTATAATCATCACTAAAAATAGGTTTAATAGATTTTCCATTAACCAATAGAAATACTTTTTATAAAGGTTCTTCTCCTTTTTTTGATTTTAAAATCATATTTTCATCAAATGTAGCCTTTTTAGAAATACCACTTCTTTTCATTTCAGAAAATGATTTTTAACTAATAAATGATTTAGTTTATTCATTTTATTGACTTTCATCTTCTTTTAATAGTTATTTTCTAATAAATAACAATTAAGATTTAATTTATAATTTTAATTTATCTTCATCTTATTCATCAATTCTTAATAAAGTATTATTATTATTGACAATACCAACATGATTAGCAGCAGAAAGTGTTTACATCTTTTTGTCTCCACTTAAAATCCATTAAGAAATACCTAGATTTTTAAATGTTTTAACTTAAGCATAAGCTCCTGGATTTTGATCTTCTTTTAAACAAATTAATCCATAATAATCTAAATCTCTAATAAGTTCTTTATCATGATGTGTCATTTCCATAGTATCAAATGTAACTTCTTAATATTTGTTTTTATTCTTGACTGCTTCTTCAGGCACATCTTTACCAGCATATACAATAAATCTATATCCAGATTGAGCTTAATGAGTTATCTGCTTTTCCAAATTTACTCTCTTTTTTTATGATAATTTACACTTATCTAAAAGTCCTAGATTTTCACTTTTAACATACAATTTTAATTAAGCTCCTTTTTAACTTCTTTCTGTTCCTTATCTGTCATATTAAGCTCCTTAATTCCTTAATCTTTATTAAATAGGTTTCATAAAAATAGCAAATGTCTCATTATCACTTACTTTTTTATATACTAAATATCGTTCACTTAAACCTTTTGCACTAATCTCATAACAAATTCTTTTATTTAATAAACCTGCACAATTGAATTCAAATTGATATTATTTTGCAAATTTAATTACAGATTCCTAATATTCTTCTGTATTTTCATTCAAAAAATTTTAAGGATTCATACTAGGATGTTCATTCATAATACCAGAAATACCCATCATTTAGCTACTTTTATCTCTATTAGGTTTATTTTAAGGTTTTGAATATTTTGTTTTAACATCTTAACATAAAATCAAAGATCTCATAAAATTATCTGCCTATTTCTCTCCTAATCTAATTATTTCTTATAAATCTTTTCTTCCTTCTTAATCCTAATCTTCACTATCACTGTCAGATAATTATTATTATTCATCTTCATTAATTTAAGATTCACATAATTTTACTTCTTTTCTAATATCTTTCTAAGAAGTTACTGGAGATGGGGATAATAAAGATCCATTACCAGCTTCTTATGTTTATTCTAAATTCCTTTCTACAATTCTGGGTTCCCTCCTAGTTTTTGTTATCAATCTACTATTATTGTTAAAAGTTCTTCTATTATTTCTATTACCTTATATTGGTTTCTCTGGTGATGAGATCTCTTCATCTACACTTTAAGCATTTTGTATTCTTATTTATTCTGGTTACCTAATAAAATGAGGATTGAAATTGAAAACCATGTTTCTTAATTCTGGTTCTTCTTCATTAAAGACTGCATCATCCTAATTAAAACTAATTGCCTCATCAGGATATGATTATAATCTACTCTTTACTGAATGATGACTTCCAGGATTTTAAATCATTCTTTCACTTTTCTATATAGATCCTATACCTAAATTATTTTCCTCTTATTCTTCTTATTCCTCTTGTATTTCTTACATGTTATTATGTTAATGTTATGTAGTCATTAATTTTCTATATTTCTTTGTTGAACTTCTAATACCTTCTCCATTTATAAGATTATAAAAGTAAACACCACAAATAACTCCACAAAGTACTGTATTTGTATTTGTTAAAGTGCCAGTTTTATCATAAATACAATGATCTATCTTAGTCAAAGTTAATAATTCTGATGAATGAGATATTATTATGTTTTTATTCTTCTCAAAGATATTATTGAAAAATTAAAATGTTAATTCACATAATCCAGTAATTATACAAGGATGAACAAATGTTATACTCTAAAATATTCTACATAAAGTATTATATATTGTAAAATCCTATGGAATCTTTTAAAATCTAATTATTATAGTTATGCAAAATGCCAATTATATAAAATATAAAAGACTAAATATTCGAGAAAATTTCATTAAATATCTATCAAAATGAGTTGTGGATTTCTTAAAACAATTATGCCACATTTTTATTACATCTTCATCATCATGACTAATAACTATACCCACTACCCAATCTGTATTTATTATCATATTACTTTAATTTACTATATTTCTATAATCCAAATATTCACCCTTTGGATCTTTTTATAATTTAATGAAACCTCTGAATTAATTGTCATTTGTGTCCAATTGATCAAATTCTATTTTACCTGTCATTATTCTCTTATAATAGATTAAAGTTTGATTTTTTTATTAATCAGAAGTAGATGTTAATTTTATTGACTATTTTTATGTCATATGAGTCATCCCTTCTTTCTCAGAAGTTTACACCATGAATTTCTCTTCTTATGAATTTAAAATTAGTATGCTCATAGGACTTGGCTGATGTCTCTTTAAGAAAATTAAATTTCCTACTGTCACATTCCTTTTAGGGCATTTACTGATATGGCATTTCGGATCCCATCCAATCACATATACAGTTTAATTGAAATATTCATTTACTTATCTCAAAGCCTTACAAATTTATTGATAAAGCTTATAAGATGACATGAATAGATTTCCTGCCAATTAAATTATACAAATAAATAACTATTAATCAGCTCTGAAACTGGCTGATAGAATAATTACAACAAATAGCCATAGATTAAATCCTTATTTCAACCAATCAATAAAGTGAAGTAAGCATGTTTTTACTACCTAATTATTTTTAAGTATTTTTTACTAATCCTCTAAGCATTTAATTTGGATCTCTCTTAAATTGTTAATTCTAAGGATAACCATTTTTGAAATATAATTTATGCTAGTAATCCTTTTAATTCACTTGTTCTTGGTACGATCTCTGCATTTTTAATTAATTAATTAATCATTCAATAATTATAAATTATCAATGTTTATCTATGAATATTAACTCAAAATCTCTATGTATATTGTACAAATTCTTACAATTTAATCAAAAAAATAATATAATTGTATTAAATTTGATATAAAATTAGTACTTATTTTTTATTTGAGTTAATTACTATATAAAACTTTGAGGAATCATATCCTCTATCTAATTAAAAACTCAAGTTATATAATTGATCATCAAATTTTTAATTCAATTCACTGGCTTTTAATTTTAGAAATAATAAAGCAATTATTATTATAATAATAATCTAAATTAACCTTTATTTAATTGTAATTTTTTCTTCAACTTTTAAAAACGAAAAGAAAAACTTCTTAAATTCATTAATAATTTACTTTTGAAGAAGACATTAAAGAATACACCAATAATAGATTAAATTTAATTTAACATTGATTAATTATTATTAAATTTAATCATTCTATTCTAATTGGATTGTGAATTTTCATTTTTATAATAATATTTCTAACTTATTATATGTAAAAATGTCTCTTATTAAAGGGTTTTGTCTTGTCCCTTATCTAGGTTGTTTGATAACTAGAATTATTAGTCATATAACTAATTTTCACTTGAATGGCTAAGATAAGGTAATTGAGCCAAAAGTTGGTTTTTTAGATAAACTTTATATTTTTTGAAGCTATTTTTTATCATTTAGAGCATTAATTATACTTAAATGTCTTCGGATTGAGTTTAAATTAAATTTCCTAATCTCCTTTAGCTTTTAAAATGATCCCTGAAATTAAATAGAATATCGATATTTTATGTAATTGATTCAAATAGAAAAATTTATTTATTTCTATTACAAAAGTCCTATCTTAATTTAAAGAAGCTTATTCTATGAGTAATGGAATATTTGAACAAACTTAGTGATTTAATGTTAGAGTTTTCTAATAAATTTCAAAATATTCACTATAGGTTCATAAGTATGTATTGTTTTTCTATATATGGTTAATTTATTTCTCTAAATAAAATGAACTTCTTTTAGTTTATAAAGGAAAAATTCATTACTTTATTCATAATTGTGTAACGAAGCTTTTAGTATGTAATTAATTTATTTTGATATATTTCAAAATTATATTAAGAAGAATAAGCTTAAGAGGATTTTCTTTTAGATTTAATAGTCATAGCAATGATTTAAATAATTTTTCCTTCATTTTTTATTCTCCTCTAATAAATTCATGACAAAATTTCTCAAAAAAATCCTCGTTTTATTTCTAGAATGTCCATGCTTTTAATGACCAATTAGTCTGATCATAAATATGACTTTTTCTTTTGTAGCCAATTGGCTCATTAATAATAATAGATGATTCCATTGCTTATTTTTATTAATATGAATAATTATTACATTGAAATACTCCATAATTTTGGAAAAGTCAAGACAATACCTATCGATTTCATTAAAAATTTGAATAAAGATGTTTCCAACTTGTATGAACTATTCCAGATGTTTGCTTAAATGTTTGAAGAACATCCAGAAAGTCCTGATCTTATTATCCTAACCATTTCATTATCTTAAGATGTTCCTCTTTTTTACTCTGTGCAATCATTAAATAATTTAACAGTGTTGCTTTTCCAAGCTCATATGATAGACTTGGCTAAAAAGGTAGCAAAATTTAACTTAAAATACTTTGAATAAGACATACCATAACTACATATTATCTCACATTTGAACCTAGCCAGAATTTACTATTTCTTGTAAGATTTCAAAAAATGTCTTGCAATTACTGAAAAGGCCTTAATTCATTATGAACCATATGTAAGGTTTACATTTTAATTAGATCAGATTTTCAAAGAAATAAAAAATTCTTGCAATCCTAAAGATATTGTTCTTCTTCTTAATGGTTATATTTTCTATGCAAAAACAGTGCAAAATTTATAAGTTCTTGGATTTTGTTAAGATTTAGATTTTTAATAATTTTTTATAAATGGAGCCAAACTTGGTCGGAAGTATTTGGGACCATCACATCACATTACAAAGTTATTTTTATTTAGTGAAAGAGGATCTAATATGAAAAAAAGTGTCAATAACTATATTCCATTGGTATCAATTAAAATATATAATTATAGAAAAAAACATATGGCAAAATATTGAATACTTAAAAAGTTTGTTTCTAAGTTCATCAATTACTGAAAACATTGAAGAAAGGAAAAGCTCCTCTATTTAAAAATCCAAGACACATTGAAAGATCAATTAGTGAAGCATAAGGATTTAAGACTTTCAAACGTCCTGATTCTGTCAAGCCCTAATCATAAAGACATGAACTAAATTAATTGTAAAAAATTTAACCAGCAAACGTCTAAAAAGGAAGTTTTCGTATCTAGTCTCCTAAGGTATATTATTTGTAAATTTATTAGTTAATTTAAAGCCAGTAAATTTAACCTTAGAATGATCTTGAATAAATTATATAGAGAAAAATAGACACTTTTATGAAATCTTAAAGTTAAAAGAAATAAGAACCCAAAATTATTGAATTGGAAAAAAAAATTGATGAATTAACAAAAGAAAATAAAAGAATTTAAAATTAAAGAAAGGAAAGAGAAATTGAAGTTGAAGAATTAAAAGATAAAATAACATAGTTAAGTGCTGAGGCTTCAAAAATTAAATTTAGACTATAAGAACAAGAGACAGCATAGGAAAAGATGAAATAGTTATAATAATAACAATAATAATAATAATAATAATAATAATAATAACAATAATAATAATAATAGTAATAATAATAATAATTATAATAATAATAGTAATAGTAATAATAATAATAACAATAATAATACTAATTTTAATAATAATAATAATAATAATAATAGCAATAATAATAATATTCCTAAGTTTCAACTTAATAACAATAAAGTTCCGATTCCTAAGCTGCAATAATGTAAGAAAGAATGAGCTTTGGTGTTGCTTCAAATCAATCTTAAAAGATTCAAAATTTATCAATAAAAAAATAAGAAAGGTAAAGTACAATTGATATTCATAACCTAATTAATGGATTAGTAGATACAGATGAACCAAAGATTAATAGTATATCTATGATAAATGATACAGATTTTACATTAGATTTGAATTTAACAATATTAGATTGTAATAAATTTTAAAATTAATTTAGAGATGGATCAATCTAAATAATATAGTATAAATTTAACAACAGATCAAACAATTGTGAAAAAGGCTTTGATTGATAATGTATTGTATGAAATATCTTGTGGTGTTGTTTAGAAGAATAAAGAATTGTCTATTAAGATTTCTTTAAATACCAAATAAGAACATTCCACTGCAAAAATAGAATATGTTGAATTATCTATAATTAAAGATCTTATTTAGTTCATAGATTATAAGAATGTATTACCTTATACTTAACAACTGAAATGCATTACAACCTTTAAATAATTTATTTAATATTTGATAATTCCATTTATTTCAATAAAAGAAGATGAAGGAGAATAAAAAATATCAATATATGCATAGCCATAAAGTTTATTAAATGATTGTGATAAGATTTAATTATGCGATGAATATTGCATTCCATTATTGTATCCATTAGAGGATGGAATATTTCGTGTGTTATTAAATACAATTGCAATAGATTTATAATTTGATCAAAGCTCTTTAGATTAATTTTTTGATGTATATGGTTAAGATGATTATGAAAGAGAGGAAGTTTAAGAAATGATAAGAATGTAAGATAATTTAGAAAAATCAAATGATACAGTGNGCTGAGGCTTCAAAAATTAAATTTAGACTATAAGAACAAGAGACAGCATAGGAAAAGATGAAATAGTTATAATAATAACAATAATAATAATAATAATAATAATAATAATAACAATAATAATAATAATAGTAATAATAATAATAATTATAATAATAATAGTAATAGTAATAATAATAATAACAATAATAATACTAATTTTAATAATAATAATAATAATAATAATAGCAATAATAATAATATTCCTAAGTTTCAACTTAATAACAATAAAGTTCCGATTCCTAAGCTGCAATAATGTAAGAAAGAATGAGCTTTGGTGTTGCTTCAAATCAATCTTAAAAGATTCAAAATTTATCAATAAAAAAATAAGAAAGGTAAAGTACAATTGATATTCATAACCTAATTAATGGATTAGTAGATACAGATGAACCAAAGATTAATAGTATATCTATGATAAATGATACAGATTTTACATTAGATTTGAATTTAACAATATTAGATTGTAATAAATTTTAAAATTAATTTAGAGATGGATCAATCTAAATAATATAGTATAAATTTAACAACAGATCAAACAATTGTGAAAAAGGCTTTGATTGATAATGTATTGTATGAAATATCTTGTGGTGTTGTTTAGAAGAATAAAGAATTGTCTATTAAGATTTCTTTAAATACCAAATAAGAACATTCCACTGCAAAAATAGAATATGTTGAATTATCTATAATTAAAGATCTTATTTAGTTCATAGATTATAAGAATGTATTACCTTATACTTAACAACTGAAATGCATTACAACCTTTAAATAATTTATTTAATATTTGATAATTCCATTTATTTCAATAAAAGAAGATGAAGGAGAATAAAAAATATCAATATATGCATAGCCATAAAGTTTATTAAATGATTGTGATAAGATTTAATTATGCGATGAATATTGCATTCCATTATTGTATCCATTAGAGGATGGAATATTTCGTGTGTTATTAAATACAATTGCAATAGATTTATAATTTGATCAAAGCTCTTTAGATTAATTTTTTGATGTATATGGTTAAGATGATTATGAAAGAGAGGAAGTTTAAGAAATGATAAGAATGTAAGATAATTTAGAAAAATCAAATGATACAGTGAAACCGAAACATAAGGTTTACAACATTAGAAGTTATATAGTGAAAAATTAATAAAAATTGACTTAATTTTTATAAAAATTAGTAAATGATTTAGAAGAACTATTATATAGGATTTTTAATGTTCAAAAATTTTCATAAATCAATAAAATATTGAGTGGTACATAAATAACTATGCCAAATAAAAGTTAAGCCAAAGTTTAGATGTGTTTAATAAAAATATGGGACAAAAATACTTTTTAAAGAATTATCTTTATAGCTGATAATTCAAGAGAATAATGTTTTGAGTTGTTTTTAAGCAATACATTTGAGACTTATGGTAAGAATAGAATTAATAGTAGGTCCAAGAAAATCAAAAGTAAAAGCAATGGGTCATACATAAATTTAATATGATAATGTATGCTAGAAATTAGGATTAAATGTTAGTAGTCTAGATCAAGTAGATTCTCCTTTGATATGTAATATTCTGTGCAATTGTTATACATTACTGACATTTACAAAAGAATTGGATGCAGATGATTAAGAAAGATTTAAAGAGAATGCCATTTTGCAAGTTGATTTATCATGTGAATGCAATTGCAGAATGTTTTTGAGTAAAAATAATAATGAAGTTAGCAAACCAAAACAATATGTATAAAATACCACTTACAATGTCTTATTTGGGCATCCAAGATAAACCTATAGGAATAAGAGTATAGATTTATGATGTGCATACAAATACTGAACAAGGAATGTTTTTATCAATATCAAAGGAAACATGGGACAAATTAGAAATATAAGTTAAGGGAAAACATTCAAGGAAATATACACTATAGAATAAGATGAGTAGTGAATATCATTTACCATAAATTTTACAGAATGGAGGATTTTAAGTGATAAAAGAAAAACTTACAGTAGAAGAGAGCAAAACATACAGAATAATACATGGAAAACATATATCTTTTGTCGATAGATTGGAAAATGTCCTAAATTCTTATTCACTATTAGAATATCTCAATAAAAAGCTATAATCATGATCTATTATTGAATGATGAAATATAAAATTTACATCTTTCATATGCACTAAAAAATACAATTCCAGATACTGAGATCTACATTGTTCTTATATGGGCAGCTCTAAAGAAACCTAGAATTCCTTCTGTTTCATAAATGGACTTAATACAGCCTCTTAATGAATCATAAAATTGATTTCTTTAAGTCATTAATTTAGATTTAACAACATCACATGGAGTTGTTAAAAAAGCTGCTGTACCACCTGCTACTGCTCCATTCAAAGCATGATCTCCAAAATCATCATTTCCAAAATGTATTTTCATATTTTCATAAATTGGAAATTAAATTGCACTAAATGGTATTTCTCTCAATATTATGGTAGTAAATCCTGCATAAAAACCTCTAAATCCTTATCCATAATAAATTGATCTTAAAGTATCTCGTACATTTGCATCTAATCCTACTTACATTTGATTTTTAACAACTTCAAAAGGATTTCTGAATATGTTTGTTACGAATTCACCTAATGCTCCAGCTAGCATATGTGAACAACCATATTTTTTAGATGTATCATAAGTTGAGAAAAATATAAACGCTGATGGAAAGGATACTGTGATTTATGACAGAAACTTCAAATAATACATAAGATGGCTATACTCCTTTGTATTTATTTACTTTGGCTGCTGTTTTGAAATAATCAATTTTATTATTGGATGCTTATATTCTAGTCTTGATTGTTTCAATAGGAAAAAAGATGAAATCTGTAATAATTCCAGCTGAGCCTCCTGCAATACCAGAAATAAATATTTAATCCATTTTAAAATAATATATAATCATTTTAACTCAAACAATTTTAGTAAGCATTTCTTAATTTGAAAAAATAAATTATTTTTCTATTAATTCAAACATCTACCACATTTTTTACATTCCTAACAACTCATTTATAAGATACTGTATTCGTTAACAAAACTACATGCATTCAGTAATTATTCATAAAATTCATTTAATTTTAGTTTCATCTAAATTATTAAATCATACTACCTCTTCATCACTCAACAATAAAATTTTTGGCAAAATAGAAACATCTAATAGAGTTCTGAGATTTTACATATCTCTTTCTGTCTCATATTATTTTATTTTAATTAGAGGATCATCACCAGTTTCTTATTATTGATTAACAAATTAAATATGCTTAGAATTAAATTACTTAATAGAATCCAATAAGATTTATAAATATCTATTTAAAACTATTTCATATTATTCTCTTAATTGTTATTCCTTTAATAATTATTCTGTTATTTATTCTTAATTCAATTATTACTATATGTTTAACTATTCCTTTGATTATTATTATTATTCTTATTTTAACATTTTCATTTTAAATTATATAATCATAATCATACAAGAAAATGCTTCTCTTTCTTGTCTTAGTAAACCAGGTAACACATTCATATCTTGCATGAATCCTGATTTCCAAATATTATACCTTTGTTCTATTTATTAATTAAAGAATTTTGCAAATTAATATGATTCATAAAAGGTCTTCTCTAGATTATCTAATTGATTTAAATTCCAATTTTAATGATAAAGCTCACAAATATCTTTGCTAGTTTAAATTAATAGTAATTATGAAGCACACTAACTATAACATTCATTTATTATATTATTAGTGATACTTTAAATTGATTTTTATTTCTTCAGTATTCCTATAAATTATTATTCTTATTTAATAGTTGATTAATCAATATCCTTAAGTTTAGTTGGTATTGTATATTTAAGCATTTACTATATAAATAATAATATTTATTCCCAATCTTTTTATTCAAATTATAGTCCTTTATCCATAATCATGGTTTTAAAAGCCTAAATACTTAATTGTGCTAATTTTTCATTTTAATTTTGAATGCAATTTTGAAATAATTTTAGAAAATCTGGTAATTATCCTTTTAACTTTGTGTAATGCTTTTTAATGAGACTTGAAATATTTTAAAACACTTTTTGACAACTATCCTTAAACCAATATTAATTGAGTTCTGGATTTGTGCTTAAAGTAAATTAAATTTCATCAAATATAGGTCTTAAAACAGAAGAAAATATCATTATCCAATACTCCTCATTAAATAAACTGCCTTTCTCTTCTAAAATATAAAATAATGTTTCCACAGCTTAAGTTTAAATTTGAATTCTTTTATCACCTGCTAAATTCGATAGAATTCCTAACAGAGGGACTTATAAGGTTTNTCTTTCTGTCTCATATTATTTTATTTTAATTAGAGGATCATCACCAGTTTCTTATTATTGATTAACAAATTAAATATGCTTAGAATTAAATTACTTAATAGAATCCAATAAGATTTATAAATATCTATTTAAAACTATTTCATATTATTCTCTTAATTGTTATTCCTTTAATAATTATTCTGTTATTTATTCTTAATTCAATTATTACTATATGTTTAACTATTCCTTTGATTATTATTATTATTCTTATTTTAACATTTTCATTTTAAATTATATAATCATAATCATACAAGAAAATGCTTCTCTTTCTTGTCTTAGTAAACCAGGTAACACATTCATATCTTGCATGAATCCTGATTTCCAAATATTATACCTTTGTTCTATTTATTAATTAAAGAATTTTGCAAATTAATATGATTCATAAAAGGTCTTCTCTAGATTATCTAATTGATTTAAATTCCAATTTTAATGATAAAGCTCACAAATATCTTTGCTAGTTTAAATTAATAGTAATTATGAAGCACACTAACTATAACATTCATTTATTATATTATTAGTGATACTTTAAATTGATTTTTATTTCTTCAGTATTCCTATAAATTATTATTCTTATTTAATAGTTGATTAATCAATATCCTTAAGTTTAGTTGGTATTGTATATTTAAGCATTTACTATATAAATAATAATATTTATTCCCAATCTTTTTATTCAAATTATAGTCCTTTATCCATAATCATGGTTTTAAAAGCCTAAATACTTAATTGTGCTAATTTTTCATTTTAATTTTGAATGCAATTTTGAAATAATTTTAGAAAATCTGGTAATTATCCTTTTAACTTTGTGTAATGCTTTTTAATGAGACTTGAAATATTTTAAAACACTTTTTGACAACTATCCTTAAACCAATATTAATTGAGTTCTGGATTTGTGCTTAAAGTAAATTAAATTTCATCAAATATAGGTCTTAAAACAGAAGAAAATATCATTATCCAATACTCCTCATTAAATAAACTGCCTTTCTCTTCTAAAATATAAAATAATGTTTCCACAGCTTAAGTTTAAATTTGAATTCTTTTATCACCTGCTAAATTCGATAGAATTCCTAACAGAGGGACTTATAAGGTTTATTATAGTTTAAAATCTTCAATTCCTATATTATTTAATAAATAATTTTAAAGAAATTATATTAAAAATAATAATATATATATTATATTTCTGAACTATACTCTTATGTTATCATAAAGCGTTAACATTGCTTTACAAATTCTATTGAATTTATTGCCATATATTCATTATCCTTTTTACCTAATATTTAATATGTTTAAATCAAATCAATCAATATCAATTCTTATATTTCAATAAATTTTAATAGATCAAATGCTAACTTAGATATTGTATCATTTTCTTCTTTTAATCCAAGATTAATTAGATTAAATATTACCTTATATCCACTTTTTATGTAGGTCTTACTATTTTGAAGAATTTATTTAACACATAATAATACAAATTCTTTTTCATCAATATCACTATTAATGTAAATTATTTCAAATGGTTTTAATACCTCTCTTTAAAATTGAATATTATATAATTCTTCTTTTTATAAAAATTTGATATTCAGTTATTTTAATGAATCAACAGCAAAAATAGTAATGGATTTAACTCTTATTGCAACAGCTTCTTAAATATGATTACTTACAATAGACCATAATCTATTCCATATGACTTTTACTCTATCCATATTATAATCACTAACTTCAACAAGTTTTTATAATGAATATATTCTATGTTTTTAAAATATTTCTTATTTTGATAATTAACATAGTTGAATAATAAATTCCTCAATTGATGAATTATCTAAATCTTTTGAACACATAAACACTTTATCTGTATGATCTGAATCTAATTATCTTTGTTCATCCATTAAACTCACTGCCTCTAAAACACATTTCCATCCTTATTCATGTAGAGAATTACCAATTATTGGAATTATAGATAATAAACCAATCATTAACATACCATTTCCTTTCTTTATACTATTTAAGCCAACTTTTACAACATCTTATACTAGATTTTCTATTTTCATAGATAATTTAGAAGATAATCTAATCAATTAAAGTATACTTTTAATAATAGCATCGCCATTAAGTGTACTTTCAAAAGTAACTAATAAAATTTCTAAAAATTTGACTGAAAATGATTCAAGAAGACCCTTAGATAACAATATTGTTTCTTAATCTATTTATATATAATTAGAATCAGATTATCTTTTTATTAATTCTTTGATCTTCTTTAAGAGTTCTTCCATCTATTTTTAATATTAGTTAGGTGTAAGTGGATTCATTGATGTATTAGATTCTCTAACAGCAAGTGGATTTTTTTAAATTGAATGATATGTAATGGTAAGATATTCTTAAGGTAAATCTTCACCATCATTTATTTATCTAGCTAGTTTTATAAAGTCTGTTAATTTCATTTTTTCAACAACTTTAGGATTATGTAAATCTGTTTATAACATTACTAAAAGATAAGTAAAAGTATAAATGCTACTACTAGATTTAAAGTGGAAATTCTAATTATTTTAGTTGTCTTCATAGAATTTATCTGCAAATTTTTACACAACTCTATCAATCTACTATGATTCAGGAGGTAAAGTAAATAAATCCAAATATTATCTTAAAGCTTATTCTACAGATAAATTATGAAAAGTTAAAAAATTAGTATATTGACTTAAAACTTATATATTAATTTAATGATGACCACCTAGATATTATCCTACAGATTCCTTTGGTAAACTTTTATTCTCTAGTAAAAATCTAGCAATGGAAACTGGATCATTTTATATAATATTTGCCTTTATTAAAAATGATATTCCTTTTTCAGGATTTTTTTTAAAGAGATCTACTCCTTTTTATATTTCTTATTTTTATTGTCTTTACATTTCTAATTAGTTTATAAATATAGTTTCATCAATATCTTAAGGCTATTATTACTCCTATTAAGAAATATTGATAGCCTTTTCATTAAAGGTTTAATCTATGCCTATAATTATTGCTTGATATATTTATGTAATCAATGGACGAAATTATTCATTTTATTAAAAGATAGTATGTAATGTATTAATGATATTTTCCATTAAAAATTCATGTTTTATGCTGCAATCGTAATTCAAATAAAACTCAAGAGAGGCGTGTTTTCTTTGAAATATATTCCATAAAGATTCTAAAGTTGTTGTTTTATGTTAATCGGTAGTATTTTTATTTTCGAGAACACTGAGATAGATTTAGTTAATAAAGATATTAATTTAGTTTATCATTTCTTTATGTTTACTGAATGCCAATCTTTAAAAGATTTTAAAACTTAATGAGTATAACTAGTATTCATTTTATAAACAGAATTTCAACAAGTATGAACTTAAATTGTATATACTTTTAATCTCCACACAGAAATCATAATTGTCACATATGAAATAAATACCCTCTAGTAAAATTATTTGATTTCTTTATTATTGAAATTACTATTTCGGAGATAAGAGTCTAATCAGCAAATCAAAGACATTCTAAGCATTTTCATAATTTCTCTATTGTAATTCTAATGTCTCTTAAATATTCTTCTTGCATCCATAAGAACACACTGTTACTTTATTTTATCTACATTCGAATTTGCCTTGTTTTCCACAATATTAACATTATTTATTATCTGAAACTTTATTTATTATACTATTTAATGTCATCTTAACAATGCTTTCACAATTACTTCCTTAAAATGTTATTAAAATTATTTATAAGAAAATGCTTTTGCATAATCTATCAATATTTTAAGATTTTGATTGTGCATAAACATACACAACAGTTTTAATAATTTTTGTTAACTCATGTTATTACATATTACAAAAAGGATTCATTACAAGTGATATCAATAATTTTAATGCTAAAGAAATTATTTCATCCTTTTCTACCAAGCATTATTATACAAGATGTATTAATGATTCAATCACATTCATAGATTATTCTTTTTTTTTTCCTGTAGCATCTATTATTTCCATCGTTTCAAATTATTAAAAGTTATTTGTATTATCCATTAAACAACCATCAATATAACCTTTTGATACTAAGTTCTATAATTTAATTAAATTATACAATTAGGGTTGTTAAAGTCAATTCCTTAATTTTACTTTATTTTATTTGCATTCCTGATTTAAAAGCAACGATGTGATCTCCAAAATATGATTTATCTTATCCTTAGAATTTTGAAAGAGTCTCTTTTAAATAGTTTTGTTTTTGAGGAAGCGCTTTTTTCAATTTTTCAAAATATTATTAAACCAGACTTTAATATGTTTCATTCATTTTTTTTAATATTTATATATTATTTTTAAATAGTGAAATATTATATTAAAAATTTATAATCTGAAAATTTTATTGTTATTCACAGATAACAAATAATAAAAAATTTTAATTTTAGAAATTGTTTTACTAGATTAACTAGAAATTTTTATAGTTAATTAATAGCTTCATGGTAATTGAAGAGTCTTAACAAATATTCTCTCTTTTATAAATCTTATATTTTCATTTTACTAATAATATTTATTTAAAAATAATTGAATGAAATAAAATATCTTATAAATTATTTGTGAAATCAAGAACGTTCAGTATTAAGTATATTTTAATATAATTAGTTTTGATTGGATGGTAGTAAAGAAAATTTATTTCCGATATCTAAGGATATATTTCGAATATAGAGTCCAATAACTAAAATAATTTTTTTAATTATACATTGATCTTCAAACTCTATGCTATTTATAAAATTTGAGTAATGGCTTACTCTGTGCATTAACTAATCTAAAGATTTTTTGGAATAGTAGCAGGTAAATTTAATAAAAATTAAAAAATTTTCTTATATTAATGTTGTTATCTTCAAATGCTTTGATATTGTTTTTTCTATTATTTCAATGAAAAACATTAATAAAAGTTCTTTGTTATTTGTAATTAAATTGATTTTATTATCAATTTATATCTCGTAATCTGCATATATAAAATTAATTTTTTAAAATAAATATTCTAATTAGAAAATTTATACTGACAAAATGCTATGAGGAGTGATATATTCTTATAAATTTGCATAGAGACAGATTTTTCTAATTTTTGATAAAAGATTAAGTGATACAGATATATCATTACATTTCTTTTTAAGTGGTTAGTATAACAAATATATAAACCTTTTATATTTAAATTGATAGTTTGAATCTAAATTTATCTTTTTATCAATTTGTATTTCTGTTTCATTGCTGTTCTTATCTTTAGAAATAACTTATAAAAGAATTATAGGTCGAACACTATAAAAAATTGAATATTGAATTATTTGTGTTTTACCCTAAAATAAAATTGTTAAATTCTATTTAAGATCATCTCTAGAAAAGTTTTTATGATTTTTTATTTATTCAAAACAAAATTACTCAAAATTTTATTTTTTGTTTAGTTTTATAGATCTCAAATATACTTTAAGCTATTAAGTTGTATCAATTTTGTAAATATAATTTTTAGAATTCGATAATTGAAAACTAAATGTAGCATTATCAAAATAAAATATTAAATATTATTCACCAATTAATTATGTAAATATATTTTCCCATTGATTATCAATAAAACCCAATTAAAATTACGATCTCAAAGCAACTTAATGATCATATAAACATTATAACAATACCAATCCTGATAATATGACTGCAACTATACCAGAATAATAAATCTGTTCCTATCCATATGACCACATAAATAAGTATATTGAAGGAAAAATGCTTGCTTAGTATGCAGCCTCAATAAAGTCAGAAGACAAAATTATTATAAATTATGATCCTATTATTCCTAATTAAATTATCTTTGAATAATTTATTGAATACATAGCTTCAAGATATTCAATGGCTACAAAAGCAGTGGCAAAAAAATGATTATATAATAAGAGGCCTTTTCTTATGTATTTGGGTTAATATATTATTATTAAGATTAGGAGTAGATTCAAAATAATTTCAAATAAGTAATGCACAAGCACATAATTCCAAGTTAATACCTCATATTTGGCTGTAACAATAATTTACAATAGATCTGTGATTTGAACTAAAGTTGTGGAGATTATTAACCTTTTTAAAAGAGGTCTTCTATTGATCTCTAGCCAATATTTTTGATAAGAATCTTCTAAATGATTATCTTTAAAATATAAGGAGTACCGATTCATCATAAGAATTGATTATTTATTTATGAAAATAAAATATTTTAATTATTATATGGAGAACAGCATTGTATATATCATATTTAATTAATATCTTATTTTTTAATTTTTTATATTTAATTTATCGTCTTTTGAATTTTTATTCAATATATCTATAATCTAAAATATATTTTCTTGATAATAAATTTATATAATTTGTAATTTAATCATTTTTATTATTTAATTCAAAAAATTAAAATATAATAGATATTTTACTACCAGTCAAAAGTATTATTGAAGTTTTTAGTTTTTTTATCCTTTCCTACTTAATCTCAAACTTTTTAAACATTTAATAGATATATTCTATAATCCTTTAGATAAATCTAAGAATTTTGCTTTTTCGTTACATTATTAAATAATTTTGATATTTTAATAAATTCTATCATTACCCTTCTTTAAATTATTTAATAAATTTAATAAGCATATTAGATTTAATACAAAAAAAGACACACCTTAAAAGTATTGTTATTTGTTTTAATATATTTATAAGTGTTCTTTTCAGCTTATAAGAAATATTTTTTTGTGTTTCCCACCAACGAACCAATTAAAAACATGTACACCTTTTTCTTTTCTAATTATGAGTTAACATAAATTAAAGTTATATATATAATTTATTTTGAATAAAGACATATCTATATTAAGATAATTATTGAATAAAAATAATGATTAAGAAAATATATTTTAATATTTGCACTAAAATAAATAGATTAAATAATATGAATGAAAATATATATCGCATATAAAATATGATCATATTAAAAAATGGGATAAAAATTTAGCTTTAATTGTTTTTCCTAAAAAAGAATACACTATTTGAATATATTATTTTAATTAAAGAAATGATTTATTTACATTAAATATTATGATTATAAATTTTTCAGCTTTAGGCAATAAGTACCTTTTTAATTCCTTAATTTAAAAACTCAACCTTTAAATTAGAATTTTCGTTTGCTTGATAATAAGCCTAAAATAATAAAATTCAAATACTTTTTCTGCTGAATCAAAACTGAAGAATTTAAGATGAGCAGCTTTATCTTTGATTTTGATTTATAAATTATCAATTTTTCCATATTTCTAAGAAATTATTTAAATGATTACTTAGAATTCTTCATTTAGTACCTTAGTAACAGTCTTATCTTTAAATAGTTATTCTGGTATTTGAGTAATTAATAAAGTGTAATCATAGTTCTCGTTTAACCATTGTAATTCTGTTTTGAGTTATTCCAAAGAATTCATTTTAGATATCTCATCCTTCTTCTAGGTTAAAAATCTAAGTTTTATTTAATTTATTACTTTTTTAATTCATCAATTTCAACACTTAATTAAGGAGGATAATTATCCTTCCTTTTTATTAATAATAAAGCTAATCTTAATTTATCTACAATTAATGTTTTAGCTTATCCTTTAATTTATTCAATTTGATTATTTTATTCTTGTTCTTCTTTGCTTTTTTTTTAATCAGTTTCTTCTTCCATTTTTGAGTCTTATTTTTAGATAACTTATTATTATTATTATTATTAGAGAGGAGCTGCTGGTTAACTAGATTGGTTAGATACTTTTTTTCCTTCTTTATCTAATACAATAATTTTATTATTCTTATTATCATCTTAGTGTTACTGCTATTATTTTATAACATTATTTATATACTTTATTTAAACTTTAAGTAAACTCAATTTTAACTCCTTTATGAACTATAAATTTATCAATTAAAGCTTAGGCATCACTATGATTCTTAAATTAGACAGAAGGAACTCTAAAATTAAATTTAATAATTACCTTCCTAATAATTGAATTTTGGTTAATTCTCCTCTGCCTTAAAGTAATGATTCTATTTCTGTATATGATCTCATTTCTCTAGGTACATTTTGTAAAAAGACAATATTTTTATTATTATTATTGTGTTATTATTTACGATTATTATTATTGGCTATGGATGAAAGTAAATCTTTAATATTCATATCTTTTCCTAATGCTTTTTATAATTCTGAAATAATGTTTGTATTTTTTTAATTTTTTTTGGATTTTTTATTCTTTTCTCTATCTCTGCTTCTATCTCTTTTATGTTTATTTTATTATTTATTATGACCTCTATTATCATCCTCATCTGAACTACCTGAAGAACTTCGTTGCTTAAGATTATTTTTTTCTAATGGATCATCACTTTGTCCTTCAACGAAATCAATTAATCTCTCCACATATTTTTATAAATCTTTTTTATAATTCATTTTTCTTACCTCCTTCAACAAGTTTGCTATCATCATCTAAAACAAGATTTTCAAGCATTAAATCAACCTTTTCTCTTCTTGATGAATCTGAATTGAATGATGAAAAACATTCGTTCAATAAATCGGCAAATTCATCAATTCCAGTAGATGGGCTCAATCTAAACTTAAATATAATGCATTTACTCGTCTTTATATTTTTTTATGAAGGTGAGAATTCTTTAATGGGTTTTCGTATTCATTAGAAAATTTATAAAAGAGATTTAATTAATCACAACTAATTAATCAGTTTTTAATATATCAATAAACTTTTAGTATAATATTTATTAAAAAAGTATAATTCCTCTATTTAAATCAATAAATCAACCTAATCTTCCTTATATAAATTATTACCAGTAATATAAAAATGAATTAGATTTTTTTTATTTCAAAATAATACAAAATATAAATAACCATACTCTTTTATAGAAAGAGAGATAACTATAATTTCAGACTAATCAAACATATAAATATGTTTTTAATATCAATATACAGATAATAAATGATTAAAGAATATAATTAAATTTTAAAGAAAATGATTGATAATATCGATATTATGATTTATTATTTGATCACATTCAATCTTAATCATCCCAATGTCCTCTATCTGGCATCTTAGGTCCTCCAGCTGGTTTAGCAATAATAATCTTTATATTAAAAATAATGATACTTAATCTACTCTCAAGATGGTTATGGCAGCATCTGTAGCTAATTTGATAGCCCACCATTTAGTTTTGAGATGATCTAATACTTTTAATTCATTTGATGGAGTTAATGTTCCATTCTAAATTAGAGATAGATATATACAGAAATATTTAATGAATGAGGTTTTTCAGAATTTAATTTGTGTAATTGAGCCATCATTTCATTTTGAGCAAGACCAGCATTATCAATTAAGATTCTTGGTATAATTTCAAAAGCTTAAGCATATTATCTATAAGCATATTAATCTATAGTTTTAATTTTATTTGCTTCTAATTCTAATTATTAAGCTAATTTCTAAAATGGATAGAGAGATGAATATTACAATTTCAGTTGCACCTCCACCATAAACAAATCTTGAATCTTTAATTAATGATCTATAACAACTAACTCCATCATCAATGGCTCTTTCAATATCATCTAAAAGATTTTAGGTAGCTCCCCTTAAAACAATAGTTGCTAATTTGCAAGTGTCACTTTGTTTTTCGAAAATAGTAACTTTTTGACTTCCAATTTCTTGTACATGGACTCGATCACATGTTCCTAATTCATCTGGCATAGGTGCAGATAATCTTGATAAAGCACTAGCTCCAACTGCTTTACATAATCGTTTTAATTCAAATTTTGATTAAACTTTCACAATCATCATTTTATATTTTTCAACAAAATGTAATACTAATTCTGAAATACTTCCTCCAGCAACAATTAAATTAACACCTGCATCTGCAATACTTTTGACTATCTTTTCAGCTAATTCTTCTTCACTCTTTGTATAGTTCATTAATTCTGTAGCATTTTTAATTAAAACAGTTCCTTTAGTTTCTTATGATTATGGATCTAATGGTGCATTAAATACACAAATTTTAGGATTTTCCAATCTATTAATTTGTCCTTCAACATTTCTAGTTACAATTAATCCAGATAAAACATGACTATCCAAAACAGATCCACCCAATATTTTAGTAACTCTAACATATTCAGAATCAAAGTTAGACTTTTCTCTTGGTAAACATCTAATACATGCTTTGGCTACAAGACCAGCAATGAGATTAGAATAACTATAATCTTTTATTTAGAAATTTACTCTGACAATTTACTACTCATAGAAGTTCTAATTGCTTAAAAGACTTATTATTCATCAGCAACATCATTTATTTCCCATACTTTTTATTCTTCTAATAAGTCTAATGCCTTTTTCAATGCTGTTTCATATCCAACAACAATTTAGCTAAAATAATGTATTATGAGTATTTATACCTTGGATGTAATCCTAGTTTTATTAAACTTTCAGCTTATTACAATAACTCTCCAGCTAGAGTAATAACAAAATTTGTAGCATCACCTTATTCAGTCTCTTGCATTTTGGCAGCCATAAGGATCATCTTGGCGGCAGGATGTTAAATTTCCATTTCTTTAAGAATTGTTGCTGCATCACTTGTAACAAATATTTTATCAATATGATTCACAACCATTTTTTTCATTCCATTAGGGCCCAATGAAGTTTTAGTCATGTTAGAGATTTCTTTACATGCTTAAATATTTTTTAGGATGGCTTCTTCTAATCCTTGATAATGTCGAGCCCCCTGAGAATTTTAATATTTTTTAACATACTTCTTTGAGCATTGATTAGAAACCTGCAGCTGTAGATAGCATAAATTAGATAATTTAATTTTTAAATAATTGCAAAAGAAATATTTAATATTAAAATGCCAAATTGGACTGCTTTAATTGTATTTAGTTATTTGCTTCCTGCTTCTATTAGTGTTCTCTTTATTATAGGAATGGCAGCACGATTCTATGATTTGAGATCCAATATTCAAGCTGAACCACTCCCTTTTAATTATTCAATCATTTTGCGGATTACACTATTAACTTTAGATATTAGTAAATTTATTAACTACTCAGAGCTGCTGAATTCGTTGAATTTATTCTAATGATAATCTAAGATGAAGATAAAAATTATTACATCTCTGGAGTACTCTTTGTAAATATATCAGCTATTATCATGCAAATTATTTTAATGGTATGATTCTATTTAATTTTAGACATATGAATACAAGAAATAGGTACCTATGTTCTTTGCACATAAAATATATTGGGTCTTAAATTGGTTATTTTTAAGTATCACACTTACATTACTCATTTTCTATGTATTAATTTTTATGTGAATTTTTATAGAATGGGAAAATATTTGAATATACTTTACTTGTGTTTCGAGTTCTTGATTATACTATCCTTATCATCTTCACTCTCTTCATTAGACGATAAGATCTAGCAGAATTTGAAGCCTTAGGTTTTTGGAGGAGCGAATTACCAATGATTGATTTATCAGAATCACAAAGACCAAGAACTTCAACAGTCAATAGTATTCTAGATACTTAATTTAGATTCTTAAAGTTCTTTTTTATTAAAAATAGATGTCAAAAAATAATGGAACATAGTAGATGATGATATTGAAATTAAATTAGATGTGTAATTAATTTCTAATTATTTAAAAGTATCATCATAGGAGCAGATAAACAATACAAATTAAAAAAAAGGATTTCTGAAATCTTCTATCATCATTAATAATATGTATTTGAGAATAATGATTATTTTGAACTGCATTCTAATGATTTATTATAAGTCAATTTCTTAATAAAATAGATGTAAGAAAGTTAAGATTTAATGCTAATAAATTAAATTTAAAAATACTTTAACTTTATTATCAGTAAATTAGAATTAATTACACCTTCATTTGTTGAATTTATATAATTACAAAATTCAGAAAGAATGCTTATTGAAGAAATGAAATTAGCTAATCATGCCTAAAATCTACATAAATCATCAATGATAGTTAGAAAGAATTAACCAAATAAGAAATATAAATGGGATATCCAATCATAATATTTACCTTATTTAGATGTTCGAATTACAGAATTTCAAACAATTAAAAATCTTACAGAAACTTATGTACAATATACATTGATGACATAATATGAAGATGAGACTCTTATTGTTTAAAGAAGATTTAAGGAATTCTATGAATTTAGTGAACTAATGAAAAATATTACTGAAATTAAATACTTTCCTCCTTTCCCTCAAAAATCTTTAATTAAGATGTCAAATGAAGAAATAGAGGAAAGAAAATAGGATTTAGAAATCTTTATGAAAGTATTATTAAATGATCGTTAATATCATGTTTCTGCTCTATTTAAATTTATTGGAATGTCTCAATATTTAGAAGATTAAATTAAAAATTTATAAGCTAGAGTAATTAAAGAAAGTGAATTGATAATTAAATTACATATTAAAAATACAGGATTTGAAGAAGTTGTTGGAAAAGATGGTGAAAAATTCATTAGATATTCATTTATGATTGGTTCAGGAGATTCAAAGCATACAATTTGGAAAAGATTCAGTCAATTTGATGAACTTCATAGTATATTAAAATAGAGGTAAAGAATTTATATATTCTATTTTTAGATATCCCTTATTACCATAATTACCTTATAAGACTACTGCAGCATTATAGTAGATAAATCCTAATGTTAGATGTGTAAATCTATAATAATATTTGCTTGATTTAATAAAAGTACCTACTATAGGTGAAAATGGACATTTGAGATAGTTTTTAGAAGTTAGAAGATTTGAAAATAATGTGAATGAATCAGGATTTGAAGGATCTTATTCTTAATTTGATAACATTTTGTAAAAATTAGATAATAATAATAAAGATATAGAATAATTAGAAAATATGCACAATAGATTATGGTAATGAAATTATATAATATAATCAATATCTTTAATGTTTAGATTTAATCGTATACCCAAATATTTCCTCTCTCTTCATGAGTATTAAACAGCAGAATTTTTCAAATCGTTTTCACTCCCAATACCTCCAGGAAGAATTTGCAAGACCCCAGATGAAGCACATAAGGCAGCTTTAAAAATCATATAAGAGGGATCAGATAGAAATTCATTCACAGATGTGGTTGTAAAAGCTTAATGTCATACTGGTGGAAGAGGAAAAGGATATTTCAAAGAAAATGGATTTAATAGTGTACCTGTGAATATCTATTTAGGGAATTCACATTGCCTCAACTCCTGATGATGTAAGAGAATATGCTAGTAAAATGTTGGGAAACACTTTAATAACAAAATAAACAGGAAATTTGGGAAAGAAGTGTGAAATGGTTTACATAGTAGAAAGAAATTTCTTAAGAAAGGAATTGTATTTGTCAATTCTGTTAGACAGAAATACAGGAGGATTAGGAATTGTAGCCTCTGAAAAGGGAGGTATACATATAGAAGAGTGTGATCCTAATTATATTAAGAAATTCTCAATTGAAATGCCCAATAATGTTGATGACATTGATTTTTCCATTTATGAATAGGTTTCAAAAGTTTATAAATTGAATCCAATATAGCATAATTAGATGAAAGATGTAATTATATGTTTAATCATATATAGATTTTGAAAAAAATGTTTGATATCTTTTTATAAACAGATGCAACATTATTAGAAATTAATCCACTTGGTATTGATTTATAAGGAAATTTAATTATTTGTGATTAAAAGCTTAATATTGATGATAACTCTTAATTTAGACAACATGCTATCTTTCATATGGAAGATGTAAGATAAAAAGATTGGAAAGAAGTTGAAGCATAAAAACATGGATTAAATTATATTGCTTTAGATGGAAATATAGGTTGTATGGTTAATGGTGCAGGATTAGCTATGGCTACAATGGATTTAATTAAATAATATGATGGATCACCAGCTAATTTCTTAGATGTTGGTGGAAAAGCAACTGATTAAGAAATTGTATCTGCACTTAAAATTATGGATAAAGATCCTAATGTTGAAGCTATTCTTGTCAATATATTTGCTGGTATAGCAAGGTAATTTATAATAATTATTTTTTAAGATGTGATTAAATAGTATTGGGATTAATAAAAGGTTTGACAGTTTTAGGAATGAAGAAACCTATGGTATTAAGAATGAAAGGAACAAAATTAGATGAAGCTAAGAAATTAATAGAAGAGTCAGGATTTAATATGATGTTTACTGAAGATCTAGATGAAGCAGCTAAGAAGGCTGTTAGAATGGCAGCAATTTTAAGATTAGCTAAAGAAGCAAATATAAATGTAAATTTAACTAGTTGATATAATTTCATTTTCATCTATACATAATCAATAGCAATCAATGGTACCATATTAAAAATTATTCTCTTATTTTAGTGTTTAAACTTTACTCTAACCATTACTTTCTCCATTTATTGTTAATAAATTTCCCAACATATTAAATGTAATTCTCCATATGGTAATATGATAATCTATCACTTATATCTCAACAGCATCATCCTCTAATTTATGAATTCTAAGTTTTCCATCCTATAAATATAAATTTATATTTACATCTCCTCCTGAAACAAGAATATTATTTTCTAAAGGATGAAATTAAACATCCTTTACTACATCTAAATGAGATTTAATTGTATATTTCAATTATGGTTTATTATTATTTGTAAATTCCCAGATTTTAATTTATTTATCAGCACTGCAAGTTGCTAATAATGAACCATCTTAATTCCAGCATAATCCATGTATTGTTGATTCATGTGCTTGCCATTTATTATCTAAATCCCAATTTTTATTATTATCTAATAAAATTACAAACCCATCTGATGTGCCACAAGCCAAAAATAATTCTCTAGGCATAAATTATACACAATTAACACTGCCTTCATTCTAAAAACAAGCTATTTTCATCCAATCTTTTTATTCTTTAAAAATTGAAATTTCTCCATCATATGATGAAGTTGCAATAACATTACCAAATCTAGGATGTGACCAAGACAATGAAAATAAAGGAGAATCACGACTATAATATAATATTAATTTATGTACATCTTAATTTGAGCAACTTATTATTTCTTTGACACGTCATAAACATTAATATATCCATCACTTCCACAACTAGCTAATTTATCACCATAATAATCATATTTAATATCATGGATCATACTTGAATGTCCTGAATTTATTTATATATTTTCTGTCAACATGACTCAGATTCTAATTATTTTTATTTATAATTAAATACATAAATACATAAATTCACATATTATATATTATCAATATAAGATAAGCATTATCATATTTCTTTCGAGAATTCATCTATAAGAATCTCTAGAATTTGATCACTCAACTCCATTAAGTATTCAACTCTATTATTCTCAATCAAATCCCACTTGTATTCCTATTCTTTAATCTAATATATATTATAAATAGTTTACATCCTCTATAAGTAATTTGTATAATTATTCATCTCTAATAAAATCCAAATTATCAAATTAGACATTTGTATCCACTAATAAAGGATTCTCAACTTAACTTAACTGTTACATGAGCATTAATATATGTTTCTCATCAATTATATCTTATTTCTCTTATTTAACAGTTTCGAAATCTTCAGGTGTATAAAAACCACATAAAACTTTACTCTATTTTGATACTATTAATTTAACTTTTTCCAATATTTAAGTTAGATTTTCATTAGATATTTATTATAAATTTATTCTATTTTATTCCCATGGATATTTTATATCAGAATCTTTATAATGTAATTTAAATTATTACTGTAATAATATGGTCTATAATGATTTAAAACTTCATTACAAGCATCAAATATTGCTTTATTATGAATACGCTATAATTCTAAAATAGCCCATTCAATTTCATCATCATTTTCAGTCATGCATTTTCTCTAATTTTCATATTCAATATATATAGTTTCATCTAATGGATAATCAATTGTTTTTTGGAATTCTTAATTATCATTATTCACTTCATCTTCTTAATTTCCATGTATCAGTCTCAATCTTTCCAAAGGTGTAAATCCAAAAGGAGTATTCATATTTTTGATTAAGGATTATTTATGATGATCCAAAATATATTTGAATAAGTTATCTATATATTATTCGATATCAGACATTGAAGTAGGAACACAAGGAGGTTATTATTAATCCACAATAAGTTATGAAATTATTAGATAAAGATCATCCTTTTTATTTAATATTTCTTCAGAAAAATCTGTTATCATATCATTTATGATTTCTATAGTTAAAAAATTTACAGTTTCTTAGATATTCTTTTATGATTTCTAATTCTATTTTGCAACTTTAAGACCATTAAATTATTCATCTATGTATTATTATATTTATTAGATCTATAAGCTATCTTATAAATCAAACTAAGGTTCTGCAGATGCAATCAGAATATCTCTTTGAATTTTTTTTAACGCTGATATTTCTCTCCTTTGTCTAATTTCAAAAGCCTTTCTTGTATTTTATAAATCTTCTAATTCTCTATTGAGCCATTCATCAAGTAATTACTGATCTTTTTCTGTAGTATTCTTTTATTCAATATTGTATCTGAGGTAAAGTGCTTCTTTTCTGTAATTTAATATTAAGTTTTATTCTTATTACAATAGCCATTATAATTAGAGTAGATTAGTTTAAGTAAGATCCTCATTTGATATTTTTTAATGATTATTTATACTTCTCTCCTTCAAAACTTCATTTTCACTTTTTCTATCTGCAATATTTCCTTACTATTTTAACTGATTTTAGACTATAGATATAATTTATTATTGCATTTATTTGTTTATGCTAGAAGTATCTTTATCTTTAACTATTCTTTAAGTAAAGAGATTCTAATTATCAAATTCTTAATTTAATTAATTCACAATAGATGAAGATTCTTCAGAAATGATTGAACTTCTAATATTTGAAATATGAACTTATTTTTCTCCTACTTAATAAAAAGGAAAGTCATCCTCAAAATTACTAGATAATACTTATTAAGGTTCCCAATATAAACTGATTTATTATAATTTAGTTTAAGAATATTTTTTCTTTTTAAATTCTTTCCATTTGTTTTAAATTAAAAAGGCTGCTTGATGTAAATTTAATTCTTTAATTTTTTCTTCTTCATTAATATTGATTTAGGTTTCATTTTTAGTTTAAGGTTTCTAAGATTATGAATGCTTAACTATTTGGGATTAGAATTTAGCAATTTAATTAAGTTAAATTATTTCATATCTTTTGGAAATTTCTTAAAACCTTTTGATAATTTCATATAATTTGAATCTTTTCAACTTTTTTTTCATCTATATTTTCTACTTTAATTTTATAGCATTTTCAAATATTTAATTAGTTTTTATTTGTAATTTTTATAGATTGAATAATCTAAAAACATATATAAGTCTGAATAATACTTTTTTTATTTTTCATTCACAATTTTCTATTACATAAGCTTCTCTTTTATAAAATTAGATTATTATTTTTCCTTTATAAATTTTTGAATTGACAATTTTTTATTATATTATAATTTTTCAGTGAATAAAGGAATCTTTATATTGGATTATTGGTGACTTTCTAATTTTTAAATCTTATTACTTTTTCTGAAAGATTTTAATTCTTCAGGTGACATGCTTCGTTTAGTTTCAATTGTATTTTTTGTAGTACCAGTTATGGGACTTCTCTATGATAATATTTAGTCGGTTGTCTTGAGTGTTCTTTAAGTAGAAATGGGGGGAATCTCTTATAATTTTTTAGTAGATTTGAAACACTTTTTTTTCTTGTANTTATACTTCTCTCCTTCAAAACTTCATTTTCACTTTTTCTATCTGCAATATTTCCTTACTATTTTAACTGATTTTAGACTATAGATATAATTTATTATTGCATTTATTTGTTTATGCTAGAAGTATCTTTATCTTTAACTATTCTTTAAGTAAAGAGATTCTAATTATCAAATTCTTAATTTAATTAATTCACAATAGATGAAGATTCTTCAGAAATGATTGAACTTCTAATATTTGAAATATGAACTTATTTTTCTCCTACTTAATAAAAAGGAAAGTCATCCTCAAAATTACTAGATAATACTTATTAAGGTTCCCAATATAAACTGATTTATTATAATTTAGTTTAAGAATATTTTTTCTTTTTAAATTCTTTCCATTTGTTTTAAATTAAAAAGGCTGCTTGATGTAAATTTAATTCTTTAATTTTTTCTTCTTCATTAATATTGATTTAGGTTTCATTTTTAGTTTAAGGTTTCTAAGATTATGAATGCTTAACTATTTGGGATTAGAATTTAGCAATTTAATTAAGTTAAATTATTTCATATCTTTTGGAAATTTCTTAAAACCTTTTGATAATTTCATATAATTTGAATCTTTTCAACTTTTTTTTCATCTATATTTTCTACTTTAATTTTATAGCATTTTCAAATATTTAATTAGTTTTTATTTGTAATTTTTATAGATTGAATAATCTAAAAACATATATAAGTCTGAATAATACTTTTTTTATTTTTCATTCACAATTTTCTATTACATAAGCTTCTCTTTTATAAAATTAGATTATTATTTTTCCTTTATAAATTTTTGAATTGACAATTTTTTATTATATTATAATTTTTCAGTGAATAAAGGAATCTTTATATTGGATTATTGGTGACTTTCTAATTTTTAAATCTTATTACTTTTTCTGAAAGATTTTAATTCTTCAGGTGACATGCTTCGTTTAGTTTCAATTGTATTTTTTGTAGTACCAGTTATGGGACTTCTCTATGATAATATTTAGTCGGTTGTCTTGAGTGTTCTTTAAGTAGAAATGGGGGGAATCTCTTATAATTTTTTAGTAGATTTGAAACACTTTTTTTTCTTGTACACTTTTCCTTTTTGATCTTGCATTTTAATAACTGATCTTTTTTGAGATGGTGTGTAATTTACAAAATATATATATATTAACGAACAAATTAATATTTATACAAATTCAAAATGAGCAAGGTTTAATTCATGGATCAATTATTAAGAGATTTCAGGGAAGTTAGTGGTGTACAAAATAAGTCATCTGTCAATGAGTCTTTCTTGAAAGAAGATAGCACAGGTCCTTAAATAATACTTACTAATAATAAAAATAGATTGAAGTTAAAAGAATATAATAAAAAGTTAACTCATTACAAATAAGAAATGGTTAATATATAAAATTAGATTGATTTGGAATATGCAAGATTCAAAGAATCCAAAATATCTATGGCCACAATCATAACAAGGGAGATTAATAAATTATAAAAACAAGATGAAGATTAAATCAAAGAGATGTTGACTTTTATAAGAAAATTAATTGAATTTAATCAAAAGATAACTCTAGAAATTGAAAACGTATTTGAAAAGTATTGATAAGTGCCCTATATCATATTAGTCAATAAACAGTGTCTTCTTAAGAGGTTGAGGCTGCTGCTCAAGTGTTCCAAGAAGTTGAATAATAAGTGTTGGCTTTAAAGGATAAAAGATTAGACCTAGTATCTATGGACTTTAAATTATTATCTATGAGTGAATACAATAGAATTACCTTATAATTATAAGAATAGAAACTTAATTCTTAAGAATATTAAAATAGTCTATTTAAAAATGAATAGAAAATAAATATGATGTTAAGTTAATAATTGGAAGAGAAAAATCAAATAATTAAATAATTATAAAATAATACTTTATGGGAATAATGGAGAGATCTTGAATAATTGATATTCAATTAATTAGAGAGATTTAGAATTCCTTAACAAAAATCAAATGTAAATCTATTAAATTATGTATTTGATTATTTAGATTAATTGGTTTATAATCAAGAATGTGAAATTAAAGATTTACAAAATTAGATTTTCAAATATTAAAAAGAAATTGATGAAGTAAAATAAGAAAATGATATTATAATGAAGGAAAATAAACAAATGTAAAATTAAATCAAACAAAGAATTGATGAGAAACATTAAGAAAAATTGCAACTTCAAGATGAAATGAAGAATATTCTAAATAATAGTATTGAAGTTGAAAAAGAGAATTAAGTTTACAATAATTAATTATAAATGTATACTCATTAAATTAAATAACTTTAAAAGAGTAATACAAATTTATATAAGGAATTGTAAAAATACAAAAATGATGTAAATGAATTAAATGATATCAGATTAAAATTAGAAGATTAATGTGAAAATCATTTATCAATCATTGAAAGACTTAATAAATAAAATAATGAGTTAGAATCAATATTATATTAGTCTAAAAATAATGAAAATGATGAAATCAATTAATATATACAATTATCCAAATCTTAATCAAATAGAATTTAATAATTAGAATCTGAATTAAATAATACTTAATAATAGAATTCAAATTTATTAGATAAATAAAAAGAATAAGATGAATAATTGAGATAATTAAGAAATTAAATTTAAGATCTTTAAAATTAAATTAATAATCAATAAAATGAAATTAAAAAATAAATGAAGTTGAATGATGTATTATAAAAATAATTGAAAGAAAGTTATGAAATGAATAATACCTAAAATTCTGATATTAAAGAATTAGATGAAGAAATTAAATATTAAATTAAATACAATGAATTATAAAAAGAATATAAAGAATATAAAGTATAAACAGAAAATAGATTAAAAAAATTATTATCATAATCATAGGAATTTTAATAAAAAGTTTAAATATAAGAATAAGAAAAATTATTGGAAAGTCATAAAATGATTGAAAAAGAAACATCTCTTAAGAATGAAAATCAAATTTTAAATCAAAAATTTAATTTATTATAAGAGTAATTGAAATAATAAGAAATTAATTATTTTAATGAAATTAAAGTCACTAAACTAGCTTTAGATTAAGCACAAGTATAATATTAATAATAATCTTAATTATTTGATAAGTTAAAACTTTAAACTTCATAATTAGAACTAGTAATTATTTTATTTTTTATTTTTTAGGCTATTTTAGAAAAATAAACTTTGATCTAAGAACTTTAAGAAGAATTAGATAGTAATTCTGCTTAATATGAACAATAAAACAATGAAATTTAATAGGAATACAATTGTATTCTTGAAGTATAAATTTATAAATATATTTAGGAAAAATAATCTCAAATTTAATAACTTTAATAGACTATTTCCAATTAAAAACATGAGATTATGCTTTAATAAAGATAAATTGATTAATTAGAATTTTAGAAATAATAAGATTTATTATAATACAAAATTGAGAATGATAAAAAGTCTCTTTAATTTGCAAAGGAATTAGAATAAGTCAAAGATGTCTTAAATTCTTCTGTAAGCTTTTAGTAAATAAAAGAAAATGAAAAATCATTTTAGAAGAAAATATCATTAGTTTAGGAATCATCATCTATTGTTAAAACATAATAAAAATATGAATAGATTATTTAAGACTTAGTTAAATAATACGATAAATAGATAAATTATTTACAAGACTAATTACACCTTTAAAATAGATATGATTCATAATAAAATCGTAATAGTTAAAAACCTCCAAGAGGATAACATAAAAGTCCCAATTGCTATACTAACTCTCCAGCCTCTTCTATTTAATAAAGCTTTTATAGAGAAGTGGCTAAATTCTCAAAAGACTTAGATGATTCATAAGAATCTAATTCATAAAAAAGACCAACAGGAATCATTAAAAAAAATAAACATATTTTTATTGAAGATGATAATAATAATACAAGTTAAGAATAAGCTTCATCAGTTTAAAATTATAGTAGTTCAGGAAGAATATAAGTAAATGATCATGCTGTACAAACTGATTAATAAAATGAAGATATATTCCCTCCTTTTGATCATAGAATTTGTTTAAGGTGTAAAAAAAATGATATGATTGCTCCAAATTTTTGTAAATTCAAAGAAGTGAATTAGTTTACAGACTTAAGCAATGTAATTTATATTAATATATGATAGAGTTAAGGTAGTGCAAATAGATTAAAATCTTCTAGAGTATTGAAAGAACATATATATGGAAGTAATTTAAGTTGGAGATAAAGGGAAACTAATTCAATCACAAAGTCAAACTATTTTTCTATTGGAGATAAGACATCATAAGGAATCAATACAATTTTAAGTTTAATAAATATAGAGAATACTTAATTTAAAAGAAGTACTAGTTAAACAAGAAATAAAAGAAACTCAGAAAGTTTGTCAATCTCATTTAGTTCTAAAATGGATACAAACAGAAGTAATTAATGATTGTAATTAATCAAATTAAAATTAAAATCTTATTTATTTATTTTTAATTACTAAAATAAAAAATTATAATTCATTTTTAATATAATTCTTATAATAATTTTTTGTAGTATGATTCACAAAATAATTTTTAATTTAAAACAATTAATTCATAAATATATAATAATAATTAATATAATATATAAATTCATTTTTTAGTAAATTAATCCCATAAACCTTTAATTCCACTTTTTATATTTTCTAAGGATTCTTTAAGTTTCTCCTCTTTATTTGTAAAAGATTAAAGATTTTGTTATCTTTTTATTTCATTTTCCATTTGTTATTTCTACCTTTCTTGATATAATTTTCCTGCCATTTCAGCAAAATTCATAAATGTATGAACCTTATTAAATTTTGGATCTCCTTTTGTGGCTTATTTAAATGCTGAAGAGAACTAAGTGAATTAGCCATTTTAAAACATATTCATAAATTCTTAAGCTTATCTTTACATTTCTTCCATTTATTATTTTGAAAATTGTTAGGAATTACTACTACCTTATATAAATTTTAAGTAATTACTTCTATATGTATATTATTGATAAAACCCATTAGGACCTTGTTTTCTAATAAATTATTCATAATTCTATTATTATCCATGTTCTTAATCATTTCTAAAATGTGTTTCATTATTATTGCTATAGGATCTTGCAGAATCGTATTATTATTTTTTATGTTTATCAGATAATACCTAATAATAAATTGGATTTAGTACATCCCATGCTTCATTTATTTATTTAAATTTCTCTTCATTTCCTTTATTGATGTCAGGGTGATATTATTTTGCTAATTTATAATATTCTTGTTTTATTTTTTGTTCTGGATCTGCAGGTGAGCAATTTAGAATTTTATAGTAGTCTTTGTTAACATCAAATTATGGAGGTTAAAAGAAACAATATCGAGGTGTTAGATGAAATACAGATTTCCAGATTCTTCGATTATAAATCATTATTAAATTAATGAAAAGAATAGCACATAGAAGAAGAGAGCCAACTTAAACTACTACTTGTGTATTAATTGGACAAATTTTAGTTTAGTGATCATAAGACTGAATAAGATGAACCTAAATAAAAAGATGATAGACTCAAAAATTGGAATATAATGTTTGGTAATTTTCTAGGAGAAGGACTTGTTAGATAAAAGAAAAGAAATAAACACATTGATCCTGCTTTTTTGAGAGAAGCTCCTATCTTTTGTGGTAATAATGTATACAACAGTCCTTCAGTAAGGGACAATTTCGAAAAATTTATCAAGGGGGAAATATCAGCTTGTGAGTTTTTAACACGTAAAAATTAGTCAGAATTACTTGATAGACAAAGACCTAATTCTCCTTAAAAATTTAAATTATTTAGAGTTGAATAAGATAATAATCATGGAAGCGATCATCCAAAACAATCTGGTTTCCTCAAATTACTGAAAGATAAATCAGATGAAATCTCTAAAAAATCAAGGATTTAATCTAGATTTGCTGTTTTAAGAAATTTAATTGAACATAAAATTAAATTAAAGGAAGAGGAAGATATTATAAAAAGAAGTCGGGAATTAAAAAATGTTGGTGTTATTAAATAAATGTATGATATTAGTGATGAATATATTAAATTGATATCTAGAAGATATATAGAAAAAAAAATAACTCCAACAATATAAAAAAATATTATTAATGGAAACTAAATTAAATTAATCTAACACTAAAATCCATATTAAAATTAAAAAACAGCTATATATGAAAATGAAACAAAAAACAAATATGATCCTCCTACATAAATATCTGCTATTAAACTATAAATAAATTAAAAAGCAAAAGAATATATTGATGAATTACAAACTAGAGATTTTATTTAAAATGAAAAAGCCAAAAAGAAAATATTTTAAAATTCTTAATATAAAAATATTGTTCATTAACAATCTTAATCTTTGCACAGTCTTAGAAATGTCAAATAAATAGTTCCATTTATTAAATAAAATTACTTAAAAAACTAATATATAAATAACGACTTAGAATTAATTAAATACATAACAGATTTTCATGTTGAAGATCCTTTTCATGATAAAGAGATTTAATCTAAAGTGAGAAAGTCTTTGCTTATTTCTGCAGGGATAGTACCTCACAATTAAATTTAAAAAATTCATTAAAAAGTTTATAAACAATCTTACTTAAATCCAAAAGATGATATATCACAAAAATCTTCAAGAACAATTAATGATTCCTTAAATTCTATGTATGAATTTAATGTTGATTCATTATATAATTAAAGTATAACTTTACAAAATAAATTACTTGAAAAATAGTCTGAAGGATTTAGTAAAACTATAAGATCAATTCAAAAGAATGAATCTCTTAAAAAGTAAATGATTTATTAATTAATAATTTAGGGAAATCATTTAAAGAAATGTCTAAAAATTAGAGGGTCTCAAGAAACTAAAAATTGATGAATGAATTACTTGAATAAACTGAATAAATTATATATATATATTCAATTTTATTTTATTATTTTACTAATGATAATAATATAAAAGTTATTATGTCATTTCCTCATAAATTAAGATATATTTTATAATTATATAAATATTTAATTGTTTTCAGGTATTTATACTAATGAATTTGTCTGAAGAATCAACTATAAATGTAGAGATTAGGAGACCCAGAAATAAAACTGAGACAAAATGTAAGTCTTAAAGTCCATAAGTAAAGCCTTAATTTATATAATAATCATTATAACATAAAAAGAGTAAAACAAAGGAAAGATTATAATAAAATTAAGAGTCATTACCTAATGTAACTAGAAAATTAAATCCTAAATCAATTAGTTTTTCAAAAAAGAGAAATCAATTCAAACCAGCTCCTTAAGAGTTTTGTTTAAAAGTAATTAAATAAGTTTACATTAAATAGTACTTTGTTGGATGGGGTAATAATGAAGCTCTTGTAAAGCGAGTCATGTCTAAAAGAACATAATGGAAGGAAACGACTGACTCTAGTTCAATGTTTGTTAATTTTAAATGGCAATAAAGTGAAAGAGGCTATAGATATGAAAGATTGATAGTAAGTTAAAATTATAAATAACTTGTTAATCATTTTGAACATCATAAGGAAATTTCAAATAAATCTTATCTTATTAAAAATCTGTCTTAATACTGCGAAGTAAATATTGATATATATATGTATATTATTAGAAGCATAAATTAAACGTATTTGATTATACTCCATTAACATTTGTAATTGATTTCAATGATGAGAATTGTGATTACAATATTACTTAATTTCTAAAGACTTATGAATAATTTGCTCCAAAAAAACCAACAGCAAAATAGATGTTAGACTTTAAGAGAAGATTAAGAGGAAATTTTACTAATGCTTACTAAAGAGATTCAAGTTCTTAGTTTTAAAAAATTCAAATGAATAGTACATTTTTATCTGAAGATTCTCCCTATATGTGGTTATTAAAACCTACATTTTTAAATAGAGGAAGAGGGATTTAAATATTTGATAACTTAGAAACCTTAATAAAATTAGTGTCTGATTTTTAAGAAGGATTAAAAGAAAAAGCATTGAATTAAAAGGATGAATCTTCTGATGAAGAAGATCCTCCTAAGTAGGTTTAAAGTGCATAAGGAACAAAAAAAGATCCAAATTAATATATTAGATAATAACCATCAGGACCTTGTATTATAAAATCTCATTCATTTGTGATTCAAAAATATATTGAGAGACCAGCTTTAATTAATAAAAGAAAATTTGATATTAGAGTTTGGGGGTTAGTAAATCATGAATTAGATGCATATTTTTTTTAAGAAGGATATATTAGAACATCTTCTGAAGATTTTACTTATAATATTGAGAATACTTTTGTTCATTTAACAAACAATGCAATTTAAAAGTATTCAAAAAATTATGGAGAATTTGAGGATGGTAATTAATTATCCTTTAAAAATTATTAAGAATATTTAAAATCATAGAATATTGCATGTAATGTTTAGGATGTAATTTATTTTATTAATTTAAGCTTATAAATAAGATGAAAGAAAGAATTTGGATGGTGTTTAATTCTGTACGTAGTAAAATTAATTTTGAAGACAGAAAATATTGTTTTGAGATTTTTGGATTTGATTTCATATTAGATGCAGATTAGGAAGTATGGTTAATTGAAGTTAATACAAATCCATGTATAGAAGAATCAAGTCCATTATTAAAAATGTATATTCCAAGAATGTTAGATGATGCATTCAAATTAAGTCTTGATATTTTATTTCCTCCATAATAGCCTCATAAATAATCTTTACCATAAATTAGTAATTATAAATTCTAATTCAAGATTAACTTCCATAAATAAAGGAAGAATCACATTCTGACTATCCAGTCATTGGCTATCCTAATGATGAAAATATGTGGATGTTATTAGGCTCATTAAATGATAGGAAAATTAAAAAGAAGAAATGATTAAAATATACTATTTAAATTATTTTAGATTTCATTAAAAAAATGTTTAATTCTTCAGGTCCTAAAGATAAGCCCTTATGTATGGAATTTTAGAAAGATATTTGCATGAAACTTTAATGTCCTTTAGAACATAAATATTGGCCATGTCCTGATTATGACAAAGGATTTTGTTATTTGGGTTCTTCATGTGATAAGTTAAATTTGTATCAAAACTTTTAGAAAACACATAGTAAGGAAATTATGTATGGATTATGTATATGGATTTTGTAAGGATGGACCTGAATGCAAAATGTAACATGTCAAATTATTTGACTTGAATGATAGAACATAAGAACTCAAATTTACAGAGAAATTTTATTCTAAATTAAAATAAGAATAGGCTACATTCAAATAAAGTGAAATAAATGTTAAACCAGTTATTTGCAAATCTTGTTAGGAAGTTGGGCATAAATCAAATGTTTGCAAGAAAACTTTAAGATTAAGTCCAACTAGAAAAATTTTATGTGGTATATGTGAAACTGAACATACAATCTTTGAATAAGGCAAAAAGTAAGATTGTCAATACAAAATCTCATAGTCATAATAATAATAATAATTATTGTTTTAACAATAATCTTAAGAATAATGAGAGGTTTATACATATTTGTTTTTAAAATTAAATATAAGCAGCTTAAACTTTTATGTATTTATGCTATATATCAAAATAGTAAGAAAATAAAGATAGTTTTGTTTAAATATAATGCATGATCAAAAATCATAATAGTCATTTAAATCTTATATGCAATTCAATTCATCTTTAATTTAATCAATAGAAGCAAATAAATCAATTTTTATTCTTTTTTACTTAAATTCCTATATTTAAAATAATAATAAGTTTTCAATCGTTTATCTTTCTTTTATTTTTAATGGGAATATTGTTCCAAGTCTTTTAGTCCAAAATTAGTATAATTTTATTATTTTTTATTCATTCTTTTCTTTAATAATTAAGTTAGTCATAATGTTATTAAATGTATTTATATCATTATGTATTTCATTTATGTTTTTATTTATATCAGAAACCAAATTTATTGTATTTTATTCCAATCTTGTAGATTAGGTTTGATTGTTATTAATATTATAGAGTTACTATACATCATTTTGAAGATTAGCTAACGTTATTCTTTTTTTTTCATTTTTTTCTAACATTCTTTCAAGTATTTTAATAATTTAATCATCATAATTATGATTTTAGGGAATAACAAGTTAATCCATGTGATTTCTTTCCTATTTAAAAAGCATATAATAAAATAAGCATCCTAAACTCCAAACATCGCATTAAGAGGAATAGGCTCTATTTTGAGTTATTTCTGGTGCTCTATAATTAAGAGTTCTAAGATTAAAATATAAATTAACCCGATATCTAAAGATTAGACTTTTGTTCTATCATCCTGAAACTTTTTTGCTGTTTCAAAGTCAATAATTTTATAATTCTCTCCATCGTATACAATGTTATCTGGTTTAATATCTCTATGAAAAATATTAAGGTTTTTCAATTCTAATAATCCTCCAATAATATCTAACAAGCATTTTAATATTTCTTATGTATCAAAAGTTGTCTCATGCAACTTTATTATTTCTCTCAGATTATATTTACAAGCCTCTTCTACAACACATAATAATTCATTGTTTTCAATACTAACATCAATAATTTTCACAATGTTTCTTAATTATTATCCCTTAAGTATTTTTACGACCTAAATATATTTTTATTTTTACTTCTACTATATTTTGATATTAATATGCTAAATACTTTTTTAGATAGAATTATCCTTTATCCTGATTCTGATACTTTACCAAATAAACTTTATTAGGTCTTATTTCTTATAATACAACTAATTTATGATGCATATTATATTTAATTAAAGATATTATTTTTTATTATATTTTCTATTCCAAAGAATATAATTAAAGTATTTAGAATATAAATTTCAAATCCTTCATTCATTTATAAACTGATAGAAAATTCCATCTAATTTTATATTTCTTTGAATAATTAATATACATTATTTACATAATTATGATTTTAAAAAGGTAGATTAATATAAATTATGATTATATTAATTCATCTTTTTTTATTAGAAAATTTAAAGATTTTTTCTGGAGTGCATTCAAGTTCTATTGATTCATCCTCTTTTGGACTCATTCTACTCTGGAGTTCATCAGCATAAATATTAGATTCCTTATAATTTTAATTAATACTTAATCTCCATTAGCAGATTATGGAATAGACATTTTAAATTGTTAAGATATAATCTATCGTTTTATCAACTATGGTCTCTTTTCAATTTTAATAGCTAAATTCTTTTTACCTTCTGAAGCTACTAATTAATTTATAAGCTTTGGGAAAAAAGCATTCATAAACAACTAAGATCTTTAAAAACATGCATCTTTCTCTTCTTAAATTTCACTAATGATTTCATTAAATGAACTAATTAAACTTCTAGCACTATCTCCACCTTTTCTCCAATAATGCTTTTTCTAGATTTAATCAAATGAAAGACTTAATGATTCATCTCCAGTTTCAAATTTTTCTCTCAATTCTTCTATTAAACGATTAGTTATTTTAATTGTCGAGAAATATTCAATGAATTTCTATTATAATTAAACATTAGTTTCTAATAAATCATATAGATTATCTTTTAGTAATTCATATAAATCATTGATTCCTTCAAAATCAGAAATTAATTTAAATATTGCAATTGAAGCTCTTATTAATATTTTAATACCTTTTAATAAGAACATATTCCAAATTTAAATTAACTATAATATTTATATATTCTTACTAATTATTAAGGTAGATCATAGCCAAAAATCACTAAAAACCATCTAGTTGTTATGATTCCAATATCTATTTTATTTTATAACTAAATATATAATAAGATTTACAAATTCATTAGATAAATATGGTACATAATTCCTTATAAAAACAGCCACTGTAAAATTCAAAAATTTTAGTTCATTAAATTAATCTTAGAATATTGTTGAGTATTTCATTTTCTTTAAAATATAATACATAATCCAAAATGTCTGTTATTCATTAAGACCATTAATTAAAAAACAACCTGCTATTTAATTAAATCCTTAAATATAACCTATTTATTCTTGTATTTTAGATAAGGCAATAAGAATTCTTTATAATCTTTATCTATTATGAATTTATTTGAAATATTAATGTTATGAAAATGTACGATCTATATCTTTTTATATATTAGATGCTTCCACTGATTATTGACATGAGTAATATTTGTATTAATGAGAATATTATAAGTTTAATCTTTTAAAATCAATTACTGAATCCCAAAAAATAAATTATACACATTTTTGATCAATGATAAACTAGGAGATTAATTTATGATCCAATGGCTTCAATAATCTATTAAATATAACTTTTTTAAAGTAATTTTTCCAATGTCTGATCTTGAATACTTTTGATGATAGCTAAAAATGAATTAGACTCAAAGTATCAAGAAAGGAAGTTAAATATTCAAAAAGTTTTTAATCCAAGATAGTATCAATAAAAGAAGTTCCAAAGTTAATTTCATCTCTATCGTCTAAGACTTTCGGATTTAAGTTGGATGATGTATATTTTTTATTCATTATTTTTATTAAATAATTTAAGACTATTACTTAGTTTTCCTTCTACTAGTAATGGATTCTTTTCCTTACATAGCCTTTATCCTTTCTTCCAATTGTTTTTTCTCCATCTCTGCTCTCTACAGTGCTCTTTCTTCTGCTCTGTTTAATTGTCTAAGCATTTCCAATCTTGAATCACTTTGACCTTTACGAACATGTCTTTAATCCTTTAAACCCCTTATTTCTTTTTCTAAACGAGTAATTACTTAATGACATTCAGACATTTTCTTTTAATAATCATTTATTTCATCATCCATTTTAATTAAATACATATTTGATTCATTATCAAATTTAATTTTATCAATATCCATTTATCTTGATTATTATTAAATTTATTATAATCTAGTATCCATATCAGTAGTTTTTTATATTTATTCTATTTTAACTTTATTTTTTTCTTCAATTGTTTTTTCTAATGTTTAAAGAGATCTTGCTTTTTTTTATTAATTTTCATTTTAATCTTTTTCTAAGGATGGTTTCATTTAAATAATATTATTAAGTTTAACAATTTCTCTTTTATACATAGGAACTCTATCAATTTCATATTTCAATCTATTGGTTTCAATAACTTTATTTATTTAATCAATATATTTATAACTCAATGGATTTTCACAAATATCTAAATTTAATCTAAGTATTTGATAATAATTACATTGATGAATTAACTCTAATAGCTTCACATATAACAATTCCTGAAGAATCATGAAAACCATTATCAGGTAATAATAATGTTGTTAATTAAGTACTTTATTTAATCATATTACATAATCCTAATACACATTTATCTGTAAGATTGCATCTTTTCAAATCTAATTTTTCAAAAAATAATCCTTTAAATATACACTCTGCTCCTATATCAGTCAATCTATTATCTCTTAATATAAGTGTTTTAAGTGTTCTATTTCTTTCAATACCATTACCTATATAATCTGCTCCTGAAGCATTAATACTACATTTAGCCATTGATAAATAAGTTAATGGTATTTTAGATGTTAATACATGTTCAATTTAATTGAATCCATTTCCAGAAAAGTGATTTTCATCTAAAATCAACTTTTCTAAAAATCGATTTACTGTTAAACTCTAAAATAATTTCAATATCCCTAATGATTTAATTTCACATCCTGCCAAATTTAATTTTTTTAACATAAAACTACCTTTATCACATATCCTTGATAAATAATCCATTCCATTATTACCTAAAGGATTATAACTTAAATCTAATTCAACTAAATGACAAACTGAAATATATTAAATCATATAATTGCATGCTTCTTCATTTAAATCATTATTAGAAACATTCAAATATGCTAATGTATTGTTTGTCTACAATCCAGATAAAATACACTCAAAACCAGCATTTTATATTGAAGTACCTCTCAAACCTAGAAATTACAAAGGATGATTGTATTTTAAAATAGTTTCAATTGGTTCACATCCTTTAACAGATACTTTATTCCTATTCAAACCATCCTTACTTGATAATTCTATAGATATAATTGAATGTAATGGGACTAATTCATTAAATAAATAAAATGCCCCATCTGCTGTTATATTATTACTTGATAAATCAATATGAACTATATTTTTATTTACTTTCAACATCTCTATTAATTCCATTAAACCTTCATCTCCTATAGCATTTCTTGCTAATTTCAAGGTTGAAAAATGATTATTATAGAGTAATATATCTCTTACTGTTTTTGCACTCTCTAAACCTAATTAATTGTCTTCACATATAAATTATTCTTCTATGCACAATTTCTTAAATTTTTCTATAAATAAAACAGCATGTTCTGGTTAATATTCAAGTTCTCTATCTCTACATTTACTATGATATAAATCTATTATTTAATCCACATCTAAAGTATGTATAACTGTTGATTAATTTAATTCTTCTTCTGAAATCTCACCTTCTTATTCTTCCCTATAATATGTCTCAATATTACTTTTAAATATGAATATTATCAAAACCATATTTTTTATAAGGTCTTTGATTTACTTTTTTTCTAAAAATTTTTCTTTAAGATTATTAAATTGTTGCTGTTTTATCTTAATATTCAATAGGTTTCTTCATTGTAATTGCAGTTGAAGGTCTTGTCAATCCAGTCAAAGGTCTTAAAGATTAAGTTCTTTGTTGCTAAAGTTCAAACCATTCTCATACTGAGTGATAATTTGAATAATCTCTCATCATCTTTGATGTAGGTGGCCTTGAAATTATTTAAACCTGTTCATTTTCAGATACTTAGGCATCAATCAAAGCCTTTTCTAAATTAAACCAAGCATTTAATATTGAAACATTTGATTATGTCCTTTGCATTTAATAAATTCTCTATATATATATATATTATTAAAAATTGATTCACTTATAAATATTTATGTTAATCAAAATAAATTAACAAATTGTTAATAATCCATATCACATTCTAAATATATTTGAATACTTCTCAAACTATTTGTTGTTATTCGACCATCTATTGATAAATGTACAAACATTAATTTCTAGTATTTTTCATTTTTATATATAATTGGTTCCAAACAAAGTGATATAAATTCTATATTAAATTCAAATAATTACGATAATATTCCAAAGTTTAAAATTCATCATCCAAAAAGTTTATCTCTTCTTTACTTAATATACCAGATTAAGATCTATTCATAAAGAGAAAACCATTCTTAATTTCCAAAATTTCACTTTAATCTAATTGAGTTGATAAGTACAATAATCCTATTTATTTTAATATATGATATTGTTTCCATCTATCTACATGATATTTGGTTAGTAATATTTCTCCTTTCTAAACATATTTTTATACCCAAAGGTGTTTTAATATGGTTTTTAAATCTATCCTTTATATTTTTGGCTATAATATTTAACAAATTAATTGTTTAACTTCCATTGATACATTCTTCCACTCAGGCCCATCAAAATCAAATTTACCTTTCTATATAGATAATAAAATTTCATGTTCATTTTCTCCATAAAAAGGAGGATATCCACATAATAAAACATACAATATAACTCCTATTGACCATATATCACATCTATTATCATATGTACCTTATAATACTTCAGGTGCTACATAATAAGCCTTATATTAAATATTTATTACTTACCGTCCCTGCTTTTGTCCATTAATATTGTATACCTGGTTAGAATACTCTGGCTAAACCAAAATCAATGATGTAAAGTGAATCTAAATCATTGTTCTTCTAAAATAGAAAATTCTCAGGTTTTAAATCTCTATGAACTATATTCAAAGATTAGTAATAGACAACTGATCTTATAATTTGAATAAATATTGTTAAAGCTCCTTACTCATCAAAATTACCATATTCTAATACTTTATCAAAGATATCACCACCCTTACATATTCTAATTTTTAATTTATTTCTTACTCCATTACCACGTAAATATATTCCATATCTTCATAAGTCTCAAACACTCTAATGATATGTGGATGATCCTTAAATAAACTAAGTTTCCAGAATTACCAATAATTCTACAGTTCTAAGTTCATTATTCAATCTTTCTTACTAATTTACACTTGCCTTTTGGATGATCTTCACTGCTCTGCTTAAACCAGTTGCTCTATGAACTGCTTTATACACCATCCCATATGAACCTTACCCCAATTTCTAAATAAACTATTGGATCTTACATCACATTTGTTAAATTCATAAATTTCTTAAAAACTCTTGTTTTTGCTTGAGTTTCTGACTAAATCAATTTTTTTGATTTGTTGCATATTTTTAATTATGCAATTTAATCCAATAATATCACCAATCTATTTTGATGATATTTCTGCTGTTCAAACTTATGCAAGATAAAATCACTTGTTACTTTATGTTTATAAAAATACCATTTATGATCTCTCAGAATTTGCATACACTCATCCTGGTGGTCTATAAGAAATATGCATATATGCAAATACAGACATTTCTAAAATTATTTTCAACCCCCAAATTCATAAACATTCACCTTTAATACTCTTTAAAATGTCTAAATTTACATTCGGATATATTTAACCACAAAAACAAAAAACCTTACTGAAATCAAAATCTTCATAATAACTACTACAATAAACAAGAAAGAATTTACTATCTGCTACGGATCCAGATTACTTAGCTGTACCAGAAGATTGTTGCATAGAGCAAGTTAGAAGTATCAAAACACATAGAAGAATATATCATTCATATGAATAAATATCATAACCCAAATGAATATATATATCAGACCATTATTTTATTTTTATTCTGTAAGTATTAATGATTAATAATTAAGTATGTCAGAAAGTTTGAAAGTATTTTCCTTTATTTAGAATAAAAGTATATTAATTTATCTTCTTTAAGGTAATATTTGACTAAAATACTATAATTGATATGGTTTTCTTAATATGAAATAACAAAATTAATTATTATGCAGCCTCAATTACCAAAAATTCATGATAGATCTTTATAATATGGTGATAATCCATTCTATGTTCCAGATGAATATGAGATATACAAATTGAAAGAGAAATCAAAATAAGCTAGATCTGAAGAAAGAATTAAGTTTTCAAAATTGAAGATTCAAGATAAAAGTAAAAAGTAGAAAGGATTCTTTACAGTAAGAACTATAGATCGTTTGGAGAGTGAAGAAACATCATTTGATTAAGAAGAATAAGAAAAGAAGTATCAAATGAATATGATTTAAGAAATATAGTGGAAAATGCTAATAATGCTTTAAAAAATAGAATTAGATAAAGAGAACCTATGTATTAATTTTTAGAGAAAAAGAAAGAAATGCTATTATTTTCAATGCTAATTGATTAAAAAAGAGGAATGATTGATGAATATGAAAAGTTAACAAGATTGCATAGAAAAGGTTTAGAATAAAGTGAATAATTAATTGATGAAGATATTGAAATGTTTAATAAATTTTTAGAAACTAATAATAATAGTTCTAGAGATGCAATAAAAGAAGCAGAAAATGAAACAAGATTAAAATAAGAGAAAACTAATGAAATTAAATTATTGTAAGAACATAGAACAGAATTAATGACAAAAAATTAATAAAAAGTTGATAATTTAGAAGACTTAATAAAATACAAAAAATTTTTAGATAGAATAACTCCTAAAGAATAATAAAAAAACAAAAGAAAAGAAAAAATAAAAATAAAAAATAAAAATAATCCTTAAGATAATTTAATTAGTTCAGATCTTTAAAAAATATTGGATGATTCTGATGATGAATTTGATTCTTATTTTAAAGATCCTTAATAATTATTTGATATATTCTAATAATTAGAAGAAAGAAATTTATTTTTAATAGCAAATACAAAAGAAAGAGAATAAATGGTTGAAGAATTAAGATCAAAAGTAGATTTAAAGAAAAAAGAACTTGAAGATAAAAAATAAAATGCTATTTAAAATAAATTTGATTTAGAAAGATAAATAATATCTGTAAATGATTAAATTAAGACATTAAAAAGTATTAAGAATGATAATGAGGGATTTGAATCTCTTCGTAATTTAGAAATGATGATATCTAGAATGTATAAATCAGATTTAAATCCAGAACCTAGAAAAGATATGTCAGGATTAGAAATGCTAAGAGAAACAGAAAGAAAGTTAGAATAATATATATTAGAAATAAAAAGGTATAGATAGATTGCACCAGATTTGGTATTAGATAAAGAGAAGGGATGTATTAGAATGAAAAAAGATAAAATGAAATAAGAAAAATAAGAATAAGATTTGATAGAGATGTAAAAAAAATAGTAAGAATAATAAAAAGAAATTATTATTTAAAAACGATTTGGTAGACCTATCATGATAAGATCATGGCCACCAAAAGAAGAAAAAGAAGAATAAGTTGTAACTGAAATCAGTGAAGAAGAAAAGGAAAGATTAAAGTATTTTACATGATAATTTATATATATATATATATTCTTTTAATTTATTATTAGAATGATTTGTCCTTAATATTTATTGGATTCCATCAATAATTGTAACGAAAGAGTTATCAAGAGAGCATATGAAAGACTGGAGGGTAAACAAGTACAAACTAAATTAAATTAAGAATCTAGTAGATGTGTGTTAATAATTGAAATAATTTCTAAGGACACAATTAAGTTTACAAAATACTTAAGAAAAAAAGACTGATAGTAAAATTTAATTAAATATTTATCAGATATCAGTTCATTAGCATTATTGCTATTAGCACTTTGTAGCTATAAATTAAATGATTTTAATTTAAGTCATTTAATTTCTTACTTTGGATGTTCTCAAGTGACTCCATTATAGGATTCGATTGAATTTGATTAAGTAGAATGGAGAAAATTAGAATTAGAATGGATATCAATATAATCCTTATAAAAAATGAATCAGTTATAAGAATGTATTCTTAAAATAGAAACTCTATAAAAATATATTAAAAATAGCAAGAATTAAAAAATATGGGCTTAATTAGAGAATATATTGGAATAGAAAAAATCATATTTGAAAGATTATGTTGAAAATAAATAAGGAATATTTTTAATGTATAATGATGAAGAGAAAGCAGTTTTAGCTAAAAAATTATAATAATTATTACTAAAATAGTAGAACGATAGGTATTTTGAATAAGAAGGTTATCCTGCTTATTTAATTAGTTCTTAATGGATAGCTCGTTTTAGTTTATACACAAAATATTATGAATTAACAAAAGAAAATCCTGATTTATTGAAATCATTCCTTGCAAAAAAGAATGTATAATAATATAATAATATATATAAAGAATTCAATGGAGGATGAAACTTTTGTAGAAATTTTTAAATAATATTGCAATAATTAAACATATGAAGAATTAGAAAGAATATCAAATTCAACACAAAATACTACTGATATACATATCTGTCCAATATATAATGATGATTTAATTGATTTATATACTTAATTTGAGAAAGATCCATTAAAAGCGAAAAACTATTCAAATTATGGTTTAAATAAATCTATTAGAGAAAATTAAAACTTTATATTTGTAAGTAGTTAAATTTGGAGATTTTTATATAATCTTTTTGGTGGAGTGGAAATTAAAAGAATTATTTTATGTAGAAGTAAGCATGCAGTTGAAACACATTTATTTTAAGTTAAGTGTTAATTATTTCCATAAACTTAATAAAAAATAATAAATTTATAATTTAATGGAAATGAAAGAATGGAAGATCTTATTAATAAAGTTAATAGAATTACAAATAACAAAATTAGAAATATTTGGAAAGTACCTAAAGAGATCAATTAAGAGGAACTTATGAAAAGTTAATCAGTTATTGGTACAAAATTAAGTAAAGATAATATATTAGAAGTATTCTTATTTATAATATTAGTAATCAGAGATAGGACCTGATGAAGTTTTACTTTTAGAATTAGAATAAGATTAATATAGATTAGAAAAAAAAGAAAATTTATAAACAATATCAATTCCTAATAAATGCATGAGTTGTGGTAATTAAGAATCTCAACTCTATTTATGTGAATGCAGAAGTGTTAAATATTGTAATGAAACCTGTCAAGCTAATGATTTAAAGTTTCATATTGATGCTTGTAAAAGTAATTCTATTCTTTTTTAATTTAGAAATCATGGAAAAGGATTCCTTAATTAATTAATTAGCTAAGAAATATAAAGTGAGACCTCCAGCTAAAATAATTAAAAATTCAGCCAAAGGAATATGTGGATTAAGTAATTTAGGAAATACTTGTTTTATGAATTCCAGTTTATAATGTTTGAGTAATGTTACTGAATTAACTGAATATATGATATACAATACTTATCTCTAAGATTTAAATGAGAAAAACCCATTAGGTACAGGTGGTAAATTAGCATGCAATTATGCTGAATTATTAAAAGATCTTTATGAATCTACATCAACTAGTGTAGCACCTTGGAATGTTAAAAAAGTGATAGGATAATAAGCTCCTCAATTTAATGGTTATAGTTAATAAGACTCATAGGAATTACTCTCATATTTATTAGATGGTTTACATGAAGATTTAAATAGAATTAAAAAGAAACCATACATACCAGATATAGAATACAAAGGTTAAAGTGATTAGGAATTTGCAGATATATATTGGGAAAATCATAAAAAGAGAAATGATTCAATAATTACAGATCTCTTTACAGGATAATTTAAATCAAGAGTAGAATGTCCTGAGTGTAACTTTGTATCTATAACTTTTGATCCTTTTGTTACAATTTCATTACCAATACCAAACAAAGAATACATTTAATTTTAATTTTATTTAATTTTTAGAGATTCTAATTAGACTCCTTTAAAAATTCAACAAACTTTGCAATCAACATAGACAGCTGGAGAAATTATAGATATGATATCCAAAATTAAGAATATTAAGCCTGAATATCTAAAATTTTATTCTTTATAAGATTCAGCTATAATTGACAATGGAATATCACCAGAATAAACTATTAAATAAATCAAAGAGAATTAAGCTACAATATTTTTATTTGAAGAATATGATGAAAAAATAGACAAACCTGTTTCTAAATATGATTCAAAAATTAAATCACCTTATCATTAAGTTCTCTGTAATGTTAGAAAATTAGAAGAAAGTAGACTTAATCAATAGAATTATAGGATATCTTTTACTAGAGTTTTTTATGTTGATAGTCAAACAACTTATTAAGATCTTCATCTTATGATATACTAAATCTTTAGAACTAATTTAATGTAAATTTGTGAAATCACTTCTAATTTGAATATAAATAAAGAGTTTGAATAATTCTTAAAGAATATCAAAAAATTCATTTACAAAGATTAATTTGAGGAATATTAGGATTTATTAAAATTAAAAGATAGTATATATTAATTATTAGATGATAATAATAGACCATTACCCTTTACAGATAAATAAATTGAAGTGAGTGGTAAGTCTATTAATCTAAATGCTTAATTTAAATTACGTGCTGAACTTTTAAAGTTAAATAGATGTGTTGATGCAGAATTCACACTCTAAACTTCTAATTAAAGCCTGTAGTAAACAATAACATTGAATGATTGTTTAAATTAGTTTTGTTAAGAAGAAGTCTTAGGAGTTGGAAATGAATGGTATTGTTCTAAATGTAAAAAACATCAAAAGGCAAAGAAGTAAATGTAAATATATAAGGTAAAATATTTATATGATCTGATTCAGGCACCTTAAATTATGATATTACATCTAAAAAGATTTCGATCAACAAGAGTGACATAATTTTATGGAACCTACTCTGTAGGAGGAGTGACTAAGATAGTCTAATATGTTGATTTCCCTCTTGAAAATTTTAATATTCAACCTTTCATTTTAGAAAAAGTATTTTTTGTAATTTATAATTAAGGAATCTCAACAACCTTATGTCTATGATTTATTTGCAGTTTCAAATCACTATGGAGGTATGGGAGGTGGACACTATACAGCTTATGCAAAAAATCCAATGTATAATGCTTGGTTTGATTTTAATGATTCTTAAGTCAAAGAATTAAGATCTAATCCAGTAACAGATGCAGCTTATGTTTTATTTTATAGGAGAAGGAAAGTAAAATGATATAAAATTAAATTTTTATAATTTCATACTTATATTATATATAATCAATATTCAATTCAAACTAACCTTCAACACAAAAAAGGTTCCCATTTTCTAGAGGATCATCTTCACTAACATTGTTGAATGATCTAGAAAATTTTAGCTTATAAGAATTAATATATAAAAATAATAAGAATAAAATTTTATTATATAGGCTAAAAGATTAGAATTTATTTTTTAAACTAGCTACAATAAAATAATATATTTTATGAATCCTAACCTAAATATTCTGTTATATTGAATTATATAAGAATATTCAAGCAATATATTAATCAACATAAATAAATTTATAGAATTATTGGTTTTTGTATTCTTAAAACTCTATTAGGTATTTTAAACACTAAAAAACTATAAATTCTATAAATAATTTTATATTTAATTGTATTATTTTAAACAACTTATCCCTCCTTAAAATTCTGTTTTCTTGTTTTTCTTTATTTAAACCTTATTATCAATTTAAAATTTTACATTTTAATCTATAATTTTATACATCAATTCTATTTATAATAGATTTATTATTATAATGAAGATCTTTAAACATTTAAAATTAAATATAAAAAGGATATAAAAATCTCAAATCCATATAATTAACTTTCTACCTCAATTAGATATTATAATATAATTCTAATTGATAATTTATTAAAATTTTTATATTTATCAAATGTTTGATAATATGTTTTCCTTTTTTGGTGGACTAGCATCTAAAGCCAAGTCAAAAATTATTGAAAAAGCATTATAACCTATCATTGACTATAATTTTGAAAACATTTTTGAATAGAAAATTGCAATTAAAGATTTAAATAAAGGAATTACAAATGTTAAATTAAACACAAAATATATAAATGGAATGCTTAAAACTAACACTTTAAAAGAGTTTCAGATTAGTAAATAATATTATCTAATGATAGAATTTATAAAACTTGAAAAGCTGTAATTATAAATGAGTGATGTAGAAGTAGTATTAGATTTGAATACTAAAATTCAATAAGAAGAAGTTTTAGAATCTCTAGAAGTTGAAAATTTAGTTAACCAAAGTGTACATATGTAGATGGAATAATTAAAAAAGGAATTTTTAGTAATAAGTATTTATAAATTTAGTGTGAAAATAGTGACTCTTATTTTTCAAATGAAATCAAAACTCCAATTTAATAGAATGGATCAAATAAAACATCATCAAAAACTGTTATGTTCTTAAGAATTATAGATAACATTTTTGGGAATATAAAAATTGATATTAAAAATTTAAGGATAAAATTTGTTGGAAAATTAAATTCTAATAAGATAACTAGTTTTTCATTTTTCATAAATAAAATCAATTGTTCAATGCAGAAACCCTAAAATACCAATTAAATCCTTTTTTTAGGTCTTATTGATTAAATTAAACTCTATCTTGATGACACTAAATAAATAGGATAAATGGATAATGCTTTAAAATTAGATGTTTATTTAAAATAGGACACAGAACCAAAAATAACAATTTAAGCTTCATAATTTTAAATAATAGTATCATTAAATTAATTGGATTAAATAATGTAATTATTTGCTTAAAGTGCATAAGTTTTGGAGTAGAGAGAAAATACAATAAAAGAAGTATTAAGATTTAGCAATAATCTTTAATAAATTAGAAATTCAAATAAATAATAATCTGGAGAGTTGTCTAAAATTATTAATTTAAATAAATATAAATTAGAAGAGTATTTTAAAAAATCTTATCATGATAAAATTATAAATAATCAAGAATATTTTGAAAGTACTTTTATTGTTTAAGATATACCAGATTCAAAAATTACAGATTTATATATTTCAATTAAATAAATGAGTGAATAAAAGGAATTTTTGGTTGCTAGCTTTTAAGGTTTAACTTTTTATATAACATCTAATGAAACAGATCAATAATTTAATTATTAATAAAGAAATTTTAAGATTGATTTAGAAAATTACTACTCAGTTTCATTATGTGATATAAAAATTGTAAAACATAAGAAATTAAATATTTTTATTAATTCTTTACTAATTTATGAATTATAGAAAATTGAACCATAATTTAGTAGTACAAGAGATTTTATTTAGATATAAGAATAAGACTTTGTTATGATTGGGTCTTAAAAATTTTTATGCAAGATAATTATTAAAACAGGGAAAGATTAATTTTTTGCTTAGGAATTAAACAAAGAACTTTATCAAATTGAAATTTAAGAACCAACAATTTTTGCTTCATAAACTTTCTTTGTTAGTCCAATAAAAATTGAAATTAAAGATAAAAGTATTGTCATGGACATAACGCAATTTAACTTAATTGTTGACAAAAATTAACTATAATTTATTATGAAAATACTTAATATTTATACTTAAAACTCAGCAAAACCAAACAACTAAGGTAAATCAGAGACCTAATTCAAAATATCCAAAACTAAATTTTCTATATTTTATCATGTAAATAGCACTTTACCTTCTATAGGCTAAAATTATTAAACAATAGATGGAGATTATATATAATTAGATTTTATAGATTTCTTCCTTTCAACTCCAGAATTTAATGAATAAAATTCTGAATCTGGATATTAATATAAAAGCTAATTCAAATTTGGATGTTAAAGTATTTGGGGTTTAGATAAATAAATATAAATACATAATTTGAATGGCTATTTTGGATCATAGTTATAAACTTCAACTTCAAATATAAAGAAATTTAATGAAGAAAATAAATCATAAATAACTCAATATTTGAAAGAATGTAAATTAAAACAAGAGTAGCATTTAGAATTGTAAATAGAAAGTGTTATCTTAAATCATAATTCATTTGATTAGTTTTATAGGATGATTTCTTAGCTAAACTTAGTATTTAATGATAATTCAAAATAAACATAAAATAATTAGAAAAAGCAGTAGAACTTTTACTTTTGTACTAAAATTAAAATAATTGAAGTAACTCTATATTAAACTATGTTTTTTTGTTTCAACCATTTCAAGTATTATTTTACTATTGATTATTAATTTATATTATTAGAAGATTTAAATGGTTTTTATAAGAATAATTCATAATTATTATTGATGAATTAAGTTTAGGATAAATGGATATTCAATCTTATTATGAAATAAAACAAAATAAATCTTGAGTTTTCAGCTCTCAAATTAAATTTAACAAATTTCAATTTTGATAAATTAATTTCTTGTATCACATAATTCATAAACTCAATTTAATTTGTAAATCCACCAGTATAATAAAATAAATCATAAAATGAGAAGTCATAAGTAAATATTTTATTTAAATAAATAATGATTGATATTTTACCATTCTATAATGAGGAAATAATCCTTTAGAAAAAAGGTTAAGCTAAATTGAATTACTCAAAAGATTTATATTAATCTTGGACAAGATCAATTTTAGTAATTAATAATGCAATAATAAAGTAAGATTTAATCAAAATTGAAGAAATTTAACATTATTTTTAAAATTGTAATACAGCTAATCGAAATGATGAATTAATAAATTTAAATGAATTCTAGAATATAGGATAGATTTAAAAAATTGAATTATTCAAAAATAAATTTTTGAATATCAATTCTATTCAATTTTTCCGGATTTCTAAATAGATAATAGCTGATTTAATTGATCATTATGAACATATTAGTAAGGATTTTTAGAAAAATAATAATAAGGTTGATGAAAAAAAGAATTATTAAAAGTTAGATAAAATAGAAATGAAATCAAAATTTTTTGAGATTTGTTGTGATTAATTATCTATAACTAATGAATCTCAGACATTTGAATTAATTATCTATTATACATAACTTGATTTTGGACAGAAATGTTTCTAACTTAAATTATCTAGAGCATAAATTTTAGATAGACTTTAATAGAGTAAATTTAAATATATACTTGATGAAGAAGACCTGGTTGAATTAGAAAATTTCTAAAGTGAACTAATAAAGGAACGATTATTTTTAGATTTGATAATTTAATTTGATTAAGATAGTCTGGCATTATGTTTATAATTAAAACCTATAAGAATTTGTTTATCTGGATATTAAACCTAAGAATTACTTAAGTCTTTTTAAACAAAAAATAAGGAAATTAATACTTAATTTAAGAATGAAGATGATGATGAATGTTTTGAAATTATATAATAAAAGAAGCCTTTCAATTTGTAAGTTGAATTATTTCCAATTTAATTTATAGTTTCATTTGATTCAGAAGGTTTAGATGTTGAAGGATTGAAAACCTAAGTCTTAAAATTTGGATCATTTAACAATTTAATTTTAGCTACAAATGAAGTTTTATATTTTCATTAGTTCAATCAAACTTCAAAATAGGATTTTATATAATTTTTAAAAAGCTAACAATTATCAACCTTTGGTATTTTGCTTTAAGCATATAGTTCACTTGAAATAACAAAAGCAGCTAGTTCATTTACTGATGCTATAGTGAATATGGTTAGTAAGCCTTTCATATCAAATAATGGTTTTGTAAGATATAATAAGTTATATATAGTTATATGGATTAATTGAGGGTAGTTATGATTTAACTTGTGGGATTACTTCATCATTATTATAATTAACAGCCTTACCAGCTAGTGCTTTAAATAATATGGCTAATTATATTGGACTTGGTGTTATAACTGTTCCCTTCTCTTAACTCGAAGAATTTTGCAAAAAATTATTTTATAAAGTATCTATATAAATTAAAAAAAAATTAGATAAACCCAGAAAAAGGAATTCCATAGAGATTTCTTAAAGATTAACAATGATTAATAATGTTTGAAATAATAATCAAACCTATTTTTTTTTAAATTTTACATTTTATCAGATGTTTATTCTCTTAAATTTATTTATCTCTCATAAACATATAATTAGTTAAGCAGGTGCAAAATTATTCTTCAAAATAATTAAGTTTATTTATAAATTTGAGTACGATTTTTTTGTATAATACATACTTTCAATGAAAAAAAGACACATAAAAGTCTGAATTTTTGATCTAAAAATTTTGAAATTCTTTTCTTTTTTATCTGATTAACTGATTTTGTAAATTTAAAAAAAAATATAAGAGGATATAACTATTTTGGAAATTTTGGATTAATTAATACTCAAAATTTTATTTGGGATAACTTATTTTCTAGTAATAAGAATAATATTAGTTATTAAATAAAACTATTAATATTAATAATAGGATTTCTATTATAATAATGAATTATTATCTCTTATTATGATCAATTAATATTTTAATATATATCTAAATTAATATCAAAATTGATGAGATAATAAATTCTTTAAACTTTATTAATTAGCTTAATGCATTTTGTCTATCAAAACTTAATCATAAAATTGTGTTTATTATTGTAGTTCATTTTATTTTCTCTTGATGCTATAAACGAATTTCTATGATAATAACAATTTACATAAATCTAGTTGGAACAGTTTCTGTTTTAAATAAGATTTTTGGTTCAACAAGAGTTGGAACATTGAACTATCTTTTTTCATATAAATTTTTAATTTCCATATAAAGTTGATTTTATTCATCTTCAAATTTAGCTGTTCTGTTTCTAAAATGCAACGAATTTGCATCCTTAGACATGTCCATTTTATTCGGTCCTATAGTTGATCTGTATTTTGTTTCAGGAGTGTTTATTTCCGCACCTGATATACTTGAAAATTTTCGGCATTCTTAAGTTGAAAGCTCTTAATCTAAATCTTTAAATTAAGGAGAGAGCAATTCTTTTTTAAATCCTTCTTACATTTTATTTAATTTATTTAGTGTTAAATTTATAACAAAAATGTTAATATTTATAAATATATATTAAAGAAATATAATTATAAAACATTCCATAAAGAGGAAACTTAATCAGTGAATTAAATCATTTCTAAAACTGGTTTTCAAATTTGATTCACAGATAAATCATTTATTTAATATTAAATAAATATATTAACAATATTTTAAAGATATTTATAAAGAGATGAAATCCATATTCATTTACATTAAATTCAAAGTCAAATATTTGATTTCATTTAAATCATTTAAAATTAATTCAAATATAGTTTCTACTGTCAGAATTATTAATGATATCTTCTTTTATTTATATCTTATTAGCAAATTAATACTCAAATTTAAATTCAATTTAATACTTGTTTCTTGTATTTTAATCAAATTATAAATCTCTATTATTCTATCGAAAACAACTTAATTACTAGTTTAGATTTAGAATAAAAAATATTTATAATTGAATTTTTTATCAAAAAAATTAACTTTTTCTATATATTATTTCATTTACCATTATTTAAGATTTAAAAGGAAGCAGCCAATTTTTTTTTTTATTTTAAATAAATTACTTTTTAAATAAAGGTTTTCCTATTATGAATAGTATTCTATCTGTTATTTAATTAATTTCAATATTTGTTTTATTTTTCTTGAATTTAATAATTAATTTTTCTAAAATTTAATAATTTCATATTTGATGAATGCTAATGTGATTCTATTTTATTTTTTCATTCATATAATTAATTTCCATAATAAAATTACTTAATCTCTCTCAAATAATTTCATCACTTTAAATTTAAATGATTATTTTTCTTTATTTTCATCTTTTATTAATAAATCTAATCTTAATTTTCTTTAATTCATTCTTTTAAAAGATTCTTTTCTTTTATAAATACCTACTGTTTTTATTCCTTAAATCTTGAATTGTACAATTTTTAATTTAACCTAATCCAATTAATTTATATAAATATACTATAAAAATTAAATGCATAATACTCACTAAGTTTGAATTTTATTTGGAGATTTTATATTTTTGATTTGAATTACTAATAAAATGAAAGATATAATGAAAATATATAGGAATTATTTTTAGTTAGAATAAATAATTTTTTTATAATTTGATATTTTAGAATGTCTGCAGTGGAACTTCCAGATGTAAATATTAGCATATGAAAAAATAGATACGTTTATATTCAAATAAATCAAGCACACGACAAAGTAAGAAGAGTGATTATGAAAAATATCGAAAGTTAGCTGTGATTAAGTCAGTTGACAAATTAATAAAAAAAAATGATCTTTAATCAGTTTTGGGTTTTGATGATGATTATTATCCTAAATAAATTGAAGATTAAAAGGTTTTATGCTTAGTTATAGTAGAAAGTAAACGAAGCACATGAAGTTCATGTCAATTTAACAGAGTTAAAAAAAAGTTGTGATTCGATGAAGATAAATGGGATAAAGAAGGAAAAAGATATAGAGAATATGAGAAAGGAAATTGATTCAATGACAATTTAAGTAGATCAATATAATTAAACTTAAAATAACTTATAAGCAAAGGAGAAAGAATTACAATAAAAATTAGAAGACTAGCATAAACTTTTAAGTGAAAGTTAATATGATAGAAAAATCTTTGAACATATGTTAAATAGAATGAAGAAAGATTAATTGGTTTATTAACTTAGAGCAAACTAATATGAAAGACATCTATAATTAGCACTTTAATAATATCATAGTAGCACATATAAGTAAAAATTTTTATGCCATTTTGTAGAACATAATAAATTCAAGAAATATATAGTAAGACCTTAATGGCTCTAAAAGAAGTTACTGAAGGGATTTAGTAATAAAATAAGAATAGAGAGAAGAATTTATAAAGATTTAAAGATGATTTAAAATAAAGATAAGATATAGAATAGAAGAGGGATGATAGAATAAAAAGATAATAAGAAATAGCTGAAGTAGCTGCAAAAGATATAAAAGATAGTGCGCTTAAGAAATGGAGAAAATTGCTATTGGTCCATAAATTTCTCAATTCATTTTTAAAAAATAAAATGCAAAGAGGAATAGCTTAATATTAAGATTTAGAAATGACATTTTAAAAGATTAAAGCATCAACAGGGATTACAGATGCTAATGAAATTGTTTAAAAGTTTTTAGGGAGAGAATAAACATATGCACATCTTTTAATTTCTATATCAGATTATGAAAAGAAGATTAGTGTATTAAAAAATGAGAATTAAGAATTACAAACATAATTTTCAAATTTAAAACAATAATATACTGATATGGATAAAGAATTTTAGGTTGAAACATATAGATAGAAGGAAGATTAATTTGAATAAGATAAATTAGTTTTGGAAGTAGAAGAAAAAGCTACAGTAGCTGGATTATTAGAGAACAAACTTAGAAATTGGATGTCTCGAGGATTGAAAAAGTTAGGATTATAAAAAAATCAAGGATTTCAAGCCATTATTGATGCAATTAGGGAAAAATTATTAAATTTATCTGTGATAGTAATTTTATTCAATTTTATTTTAGCAATAAAAAGAATTATTAAATAAATCAATTATTAATGCAGTTATTGATATTAAAGATTAAGAATTTTTAAAAAGAAATGTTAGAGTCAAACCAAAAAAATAAGTTACTTAATCTCATACTAATCATTCTATGGATTAATCTTCAATTAAAGATGATGAAGATATGTTTGATGAATTACCAATAAAAGAAGATGAAGAAGATGAATTAGAAGAAGAAAAGCTCATAGAACAATTAAGAGAAGAAATTAAAGTAAAAAACCATAAAAAATGACATATCAATTATTTCTTAGAAATAAATATAATAATAATACAATTATTTATTTTATTATTTGAATCATTTTTTATTTTACTTATAATTTTACATTATTTGGATCATTATTTCTATCATAATTAGATAATTTTGTTAGAAGTAAAAAGTTTCATAAGAGATAATTTATATAAAAGAATATAATTTATTTTAAATTTATATATATATAGGAAAACATTTTAAAATTTAATTGATATTATGATACCTAACCAAAAGAATAAATGATAAATATTATTATAAAAGAATATTCTATTTTTAAATGATAGGTAGTTCAAAATGATGGAACAAGTTTTTTCATAAAGCTTCCAATTAATAGAAATAGAACAATTGTTAAAAGTATATGCCATATTTAGAAATGTTAATGATTAATTTTATTTGGATTTTTACAATTGAATATTATTTTGAATTCTAATTTTTTAAGTTCTTATTATAATTCTTCTTTATTTAATTGCAATTCAGACTAGATAAATTATAAAAATTTACAATTTATTTTAATAATTAATCCTCTAGTTACTTATTTTTAATTAAATTTTGTTAATTATAAATTGTAGATTTTGGATGATTAATAAGATGTTACGAAATTCTAAACTTTGATTTCTCATTGAATTGTGATTTACTTAATTGTGGTTCTGATTATTTTGTATTATGAAATCTTTATATTGAAGTAGTTTCACTGATACTCATATCTTATTGAACATTATCAAAACAGTTAAATTATGAATGACTTTAAGACTAGGGTATTTAAATAAGAAATGGACTATTTGAAGAATCAATTTAATCTAAGAAATTATTTAAATCTTTTGGCATTTTAAGAATTTATGGTTATGTTTGAGTTGTAGAAATATATCCATAGGATTCAAAACTGCTAATAGAATGTTTCCTATTTTATTAATATGATTGATCAAATTTATTTTAATCTGATATTTTATTTGTACATATTACTTATATAGATTGTTAAGATTTTATGCTTTTATTTAAACTATTTTGGTTATCATTATCATTAATATTTTATTTATTCTACTAGATATTTTATGTATATGAGTTTTCAATTGAATTATTTTAGATCTGACTTTAATCATTAAATGTTTAATTCATTGATGGAGATTTGTTTTCAAATGCAAACTCATTAGACTCATATATATCTGAATACAATGATAGAGATTGAGATTATTTCTCTAAGTAACCTTCATTTCTTTCACTCCAGAATGGTGGAATAGACTTAGAATTAGAAGATAATTAAATTACGAATGTATTTAGTTTGGTTTCATCAAATTCTATAGCTTCAATCTTAATAAGGCTTTCTAGTTTAGAAGGTAATTTAGACAAAATCTAAAATTTCTTTTTTTCATTTAATTTCAATAATGAAAAGGAAGGAATAATACTACAAGAATTGTTATCTATGATCCTAATTAAAATTGGATATTTTGCTTCATTTGTCAATGTTAGCTATTTACTTTGTTTAATATTTTTGCAATCAATTTTAAATAACATTTATAAATAAAAATTTAATAAACATAGAGATTAAATCATATCATGAATAATTTTGTTTATTATTCAAAACTGCTTCAATAGTCCACACTGAAGCATTGGTTGGCAATTATGTTAAAAATGTTTTGTATTGTTATTTAGTTATATAAGAAGGTTCAGCAATTGAAGTTAGATATTATTAACAAGTGTTATTTTTAATTAAAAAAAAGTCATTACAAAAAACTGCTTGAGTTTATTATTGACTTAATGGAATAATAGACCATTCTTCTAAGAATAGATTTTAATCAGAACAACAAACTTAAAATGTTTTATCTGAATTAGTTTATCCTTTATTATATTTTAGAAATTGATTAGTATTAGAATGTAATAATGAAAACTTTTCACCATATAACAATTGATTTTCAATTGAATGCTTTCTTTCTCCTTCTATTTTCATCAAAACAACTTCCCAAAGTTCATTTGCTAAAATTCTAATATTAATAATATACATATTCTTGGTATTACAGAATTAGTGGTGACTTCTTAATTTTTTGATTTTAATAAAATAGAATGAGAATTTAAAGCTGTACCTAAAAATGCATTTCGAATTATAACTAGACTTCCATGGAAAATTGGTTTAGAAAATCTAGGTAATAAATGAATTATTCCATTTATAAGATTAATATCATGAATGTTTACAAACCAATCATCATTTTAATCTCTTTCATTATATCCAATTACTTCTACACAATCAGATAAATCTTTCTATTTAAAATAATTTGAATTTGAATGTATAGATAAATTAGATGTTATATTAATTAATCTTATGATTGATGCTTAATTTATTATTGATTCTTTAATTTTTAAAATAGAACCTTACCATAATTCTGAAGGAGATATTACAAAAATCTAAGATCCCATAATTTCATTTTATTTCTCCATTAAAATTGCTTCCTTCTAATTTGTTGTTTATGATTTATTATTTATATTACTAAATTTAATTAAATTAATTACATAGTCACAATTTAATCTAATTATTTTAAATATACAAGGTCTCCATATTTTATCGGCTAATAAAGCATATTTCCAAAATCTGTATATGCCAAGTGAATTTCAAATTTTGTCCCTTCTTAATATTAGTTTTTAGTACATCCTAACATTGTCTCTTTAGATCTAATTATTTTTAGATTATTCTCCTTACCCACTTGTTAATTTGATTCGATTTGAAAAGAGATAATCATTGGTACTCAAATGTTTCAATTATATTATGGCACCACTGAATAATTACAAGTCATATTATTTATCCATTATTTATTATCAAAAATACAAAAATTTATATTTATTAAAGAATTATTAAACCTGTATATTTACAAATATAGAATCAGCACTTCATAAAAAATTTAGAGATCTTACACTCAATAAAGTAGTATGTGATTTAGGAGACTTCAATAAAAAATTCCTATTTGTACTATAACTCTTTTTCCTATCTGTAACTAATTTCTCTATTGTTCTATTTGGTCTCAAATTATAAACATTTGAAAAATTTTCTTTATTTTCTATATAAGGATCCACAATTATCAATTGTTGTTCTTAATATTTAGGTCGCTTGAAATTAGTTTTCAAGAATATTTGCTTAACTCCTTCATAATGAGAGTTTGATGAAAGTCTTGATGATATACGAGTATTATAATCAGATAATCTTGATGTTGGAGTCTTAAAATTCAGTAAATTATTATTCATTGAACTAATTAATCTTCTTTGAGTCTATTTAGATTTACTGGTTGAACCAATGCTCTTTTTACATGTAGACATAATGGTATTCTTCCTACTAAACCCAAAAATATTTACTATTATTCTTGTAATTCTAATCTCTTTTATTTTTTTCTTTCCTTCTCTCTTTTAATATCCAAAACATGTTATTAAATTATTGTTTTTGGATAAAGGACATTAAATCTTCTTAATTTTGATCCATCCCCCTCTTATTAGCTTAATCTTCTTAATTTAGTGCTAGACATTTTAACTGACAAATATTTATTAATAAAAAGTATATATTTTATCTAATCATAATCAGATTCAAAAACCTAATTAAATTTTAATAGACTGCTAACTTTCTTTTCATTTTACATTTTAAAATGTAAATAAATGGTAATAAAGTTAAAAATTTTTGAATTTATGAATTTATATATAAAAGAACAAATAATTTTATAGTTTTTATTACTATAAACTTTGTAGTTATATATTCTTATTCATAATAATAATGAGAATATCCTTTATCTAATGTTTTTAAATTCTGTTTTTATAAAAAATTCACTGAAAAAATAAATTCAAATTAATTTTCTTATATTAAACTAAGTATGTTAGACTATCTTTAAGTTTATATTATATAAAATTACTTATTGCAAGATTTTGTAGTTAACTTTTAATAGATAATATTAATTAAGTTTATTATATATTAAATTAAATTACTAATGATAAATTAACCAAATTCAATTATAGAATTACCTTTCCAGGTTTCTACAAGTCATATCCTAGACTTATTTATTAGCTGCACAAAAAAGAAGTAAAGTTTTCAAATTATTATTATAGATAATATTAAATATTGGAGAAGGATTCAAATTAAATTATAGCTATTAAGGAAAATGTAGCAGTGATTAAAAATACTTTAAAAAGAATGATTTGCATATAAGAAAACACTTTTGAATAAATTTGTTTGGTTAAAATCTAAATTGATACAAATTAAGTTAAATGTGTCAGAATAGTTTCTATAAGAGGGATCACTGGACATTATGATGAAAATTAAGAATTGATTAACTATTTCTTATCTAAAATTGATAAATTGCGTAATAAGAAAACTTAAGATTAAAATATGATGAATGAAGCATCTGAATTTGTTGGGATTGTGAATGTTTCAGAAGAGATGGAAAATCCTGCAAATCAAAACCCATATTATTTAGAAACAAGTGCTTATTATATGTTTCATAAGTTATTATGTGCTTCAAATTATGGCTTAGGAAAAAAAGTAGCAGAATATATTCAAAAATTATAAAACAATCTTAATAATGACTAAACTAACATTAAATAAAATGTTTAATAATTAAATGCATTTATTAATCAAATTGTGGAAACATTATTTCAATCTTTTAATTTTGGTAAATAAGAAACTACTTAAATAATGCCTTATTGCAAGATTTCTATTGAAAAATATTTTTATTTAAAGTTATCTCATTGTATTTTACCTCAATACTAAAACATGTTTAAATAATAGAATGAATTATTCAGATCTAAGAAAATAGACAGAAATAACATATAGATAAAAAGTGATTTACATAAAGATCTATAGATTCCAGAATTCAATTCTTAATAAACAATACGAATTACAGAAGCCTTAAATGAATTAGATAAAATTGAATATATGAGTTATCCTAGAGAGAAGTTGAGGTGTTTATAATTGATGAATGCAATTCTTAAAGGTACTCTTTATAATATTATTACATAGCTATTAACTCTGGTTTAATTGATTAATTAGTGAAGTACTGTTTGATATTGAGTAATGTAGATCATCCATTCTCAGAAATTTAATTACTCATAGATTCAACAAGTTCACAAGATAGACAATTCCTGAATAAAATTTATGTACAAAATTATTTAATTATAGCATCAATTAGAAGAAATAATCAGTTCTTGATATATTAATTTTAATTAATTTAATTTATTAATAAAAAAACTTACAAAAGGATGAATAACTTTGATGAAGACCCAAATCCCAATTCCACAGGTCTAATTAACAAATTAGGTTTTTAAGTACAATTACTATAGCTAGTGGAACTAAAAATGTTGTAACAGGAACAGTGAATTCCGTTGGATACGGTATATGGTGGGCTGGCTCAGGCATAGTTAATGCTAGTGGCAATCTTCTTCATCTTGGAAAAGGTGGATTCAGCAAAACTCCTAAAGCTTAAGAAAACAATGAGCTTAAAGGACAATAGTTAGTAAACATCAATAAATGATAATTATGAGATTTATACTATAAATTATATTCTTTCTAATATATAATTTTGAAACTTATATGAGAGAATGAGTTAAATATATTCTAAAGAATAAGATTCATAAATTCATTTTGAATGGTATGAAATATATTATATATATATTATATTATAATTTTATATAAATAAAAATTTGATCATATTTGATCAATTATAATTTATAAGTCATGGAAGTTTTTGATGAAATGTATTAAAATTTAAAGATATTACATTCAACTACTATTGATGGATCTGTAATTTGTGATGTCAATCTAAAAGTTAATAAAATTGCTATCATAATTGGAACTTAAAAATAATAAAACTCTAAAATACAAAATCCAGTCCTTCATATTTATTCAGCTTTAACAGCTGAAAAAGAACGAGAATTTGTTTTACCTGTTGATTATTTAAGATCACTTAAGTTTTCTTATAGTGGATAATTTTTAATTGCATATGGTTTAACATGTGATATAATAGTGATAAATATTAATGATGAAAATCAAAAATTAAAAGTATTAAAAGGACATTCATATTTTGTGGAAACTATTCATATACAAAAATCAGAAAAATTGTTTGTATCTGCAGCATCTTTTGATAATTTATGTCTTTGGAGTTTGGAAGAGTTTAAATTATTATAAAAGATTTCCACTCAATAAGAATAACAAGCTGAAATTTATGCTATAGCTTTATCATAATCTAATTATTTTATTGCTTTAGCTACTTCAGATGAAAAATTAACAATATGGAATTATAAATCAAGTTCAATAACAAAATCATTTTAATTTAAAGATGGTCTTAATTATTTAGAATATCCTAATTAAAGTAATAATCTACTTTTTGCTTATAGAAAAGCTTCAAACTCTTTAATCTTATTGAATGTTGCAGTACCAATCATATTAAGATAATTGGAACTCTTTTCAGTTAGATTAGTCAATATTGATTTTATATATGATTCTAATATAATCGCAATTTCACAAAACAATCTTTTTTTAAAATAAGGATGTATATCATTATGGGATTGGTAAAAAGGAAATTTATTATTTAAATAGAATTTAGATGATTCAGTCATAATTTTAAAGGCTCTTGAGAAAAATAAAGTCTTAATAACAAAAGATAAACATACAATTAAATTTTGGATGAATAAGCAATGATTCATATTAATTCGATTTTATTTATAAAATTAATAGAAAGATGTATAAAATGTTATTTTTATTATAATTTAATAAAAAAGTTATGCACAATTAATTAATTCAAAGAATAATATATATTATTTAAGAATTTTATAAAATATCTAATATATATTGAATATACTAAAACTAGAGAATGATAATTAATGTTAATAATATGAATAGTAAAATAAATTAATTACTAAATTCCCTTTTTTTGAAATAAATTCAAAGTTTTATTGATTCTAAATATATTAAGTTTATAATATTAATTGTATAAAAAGACTTTTTTGGTATAATATGTTAAACTCTAAATTTGAACCAGACATTGTCTAAATCACAGAACAATTAAGCAAACGACTTAATGATAAGAAGAAATCAATTTAAGAATTTTTAAATATTCTGCAATAAAGAGCTGAAATAGAAGAAGTATATTCGAAAAGTCTTGAAAAAATAGGTAAATTTATAAAATAAGTAAAGGTTATGAATTAAGCACTATTGTTGAGAATACTTAGTAAGATAGCTTTACAGATATCATGTAATATGTGAGGAATTATCTTCTGATTTCAAGTGAGTAGAGTAAAGAATTGTATTAGTAGTTAAAAAATAATGTTGTCTTAGAATTACAAAATACAATTAGTCTTGATTAAGGATGGATTAATGAGGTTAATAAAATACAGAATAAACATTCTAAAGAAGTTAGAAGAAATATTGAGGAATTACATGCATTACAAGATGATTACAATTAAGCATTATATGAAGAAAAGATTTATTTAGAAGGTAAGATAACTTCTAAAAAGAGAAATTATGAGAAAAGTGAAACTAATTTAAAATAGTTTATTCTTTATTATAATTAATATTTAGACACATATTTTTAGGATATTGCATATATTTAAGATATATTTCTAAATATAGAAATAGATAGAAGAAAATTAGTTTAGGATGCTGGAATGAAATTGTTTATGTATTAGATATCATTGATAAGAAATTTATAATATGATATAAGTGGAATAACTTAAAAAATAGAATAATATAAAAGTAATAGTAAATAAAGTGAATTACTTATAATTCAAACAAATGATAGACCTCTTCTCTCTAAATTAAATGTTGAAAATTATATACTTTCTTTGAAATAATAATATAATTTAGATGAAAATTAACGTAAAAAAAAATTAATAGCAGATGGACTTAATGGAACTGATTAAAAAAAGGTTGATTTTATATAAGCTAATTCATCAGATTATTTAAAATATAATAAAATGTTTGAATAAGCTTTAAGATTTTCAGAGATTAATGATGACATTATTAAATATTTGATTAATTTATTGTAAAAGACCAAAGCATAGTAATATTATGATGCATTAATTTCTACTATTTAAAAAATATCTAGTCAATCAAATTAAAAATATGATTATTCTGTTACACCATTAGGATATTAAACTTGTTTGAAATTGTCTGATATTTTATTAGATTATTGTAATTCTTAGAATACAAATGCATAAATAGTGATTAACTTACTTAAGTTTTCAAAGAATATTTACAAAATGTTGAGCGTTCAAGATTAAGAAAATGTAGAGATATAAGAGTACATTAAATTTTCTTTATTTGGTAATTATGAAGTTCATTACAGAGGGTTTAAAGAATCATGAAGTTTTGTAGAATAAAATTTTATGGAATGATTATGTACGATCCAAAGAATAGATTGATGAATTAATAGAGTTAAATTGTAATGAGAGTTTGATATAATTTCTAAACACAAAAATAAATTGTTGACAAATAGATTTGTTGATTATGCATTTTATATAATTTTAATAATATGAATGAATCAGAGTTTAAAAAATACAAGAGAAATTTGAAAGTTAGAGAAAATAGTTCATCAAAAACTCTATGGTTAGTTATTTATATTTGCTTCATCTATCTACTCTTTGGATCTTTTAATATGTGTGGCAAAATCTTTTTAACATGTGCATACATCTATTCATTTTCAGAAAACATTTCACATTTGGATTATAGCTCATTAAATTTAGTTAATTTTTAGTAATCTTTTTATATAGAATATTATTAGATGGTTTCTATTTCAATTAGTAGGACCTTTAAGTCTTACATTTATGCCTAATTTAATTGGAAAAATGAAATTCAGATATATTTTATTAGCAGCTTCACTTGGTCCCATTATATTCTTGACACCAGCTCCTTATGCTTGTTTGTGTAAAGATTCTTAATCACCTGGTTGTAATAAAGCCATAATATATTTATGTGCAATTTTAGTATCTATAATTGCTGGTTTGATGCAATCAATATTACTATTTACCATGCTATTTTATTTATCTAATTTATCAAAAAGTCAAGAAAAAGTGATTTATTATGGTTCATTTTTTTTCATGTAATATACAAATTTTAATTAGTCATTCCTTATAATGGTTACTTGGAAGTTTGATAGGTGAAATATTTATTACATATGATAATATGAGTACTGAAAACTCTATATCAAAAGTGTTTGGTTTACTTATTCTATTACAATTTGTTGTAAGTCTCCTTTATTTGTCATTACCTGAAAAATCTGATGGTCGATATGATAAATTTCATAGAACAATATTTGAATATTACAATTCCAAAAGTTAAAAGCAATCTAAATTAGAAGTAACTGATGGAATTAGAGAATTACTCTTAAAATCAACTTATATCAATACTGATAATGATGATGAAAGTGATACATTTAAAAATGCATAAGATACTTCTAGATCCCAATCTAAATCAGCTGTAGATCTACATTTATTCAAATCTTAAATGTTTTAAAATTCTAATACTAAATCAATTATGACATTGTAATGTTTCTCAATAGAAGAATAAAGTTTAGTAGAACTCTTAGAATCAACAAATTAACAAACAAAGAATTCCATATCAATTGAAGAATATTAATCTCGTACTTACTTTTAGAATATATACTTGACTTTACAAAAATTATAATAAGAAGGATTTTTGTCAGTTCTCCTTTTGTTATCTTTTATTGCCTGCATATAAGCATTTTTGTTTATATATTTTTTTCCATTTTTTGCTTATCCAGGAATTAAGAAATTAACATTTTAAGCCAGATTAGTATTATAGGGTTATTTATATGTAGGAGTGGGTGAATTATTTGGTTCATTTGGTATTGGTTGGTTAGGAGATTCAAAAGATAAAATTAAGTAAATATTATCTATAAATTATAAGTGCCCTTATATATATTCTTTATATATTCTAATTTGGCTGTTTTGTAGCATGGACATCATATTATTTTTAGTATGAAATTTTAGTATTGGTATTCTCATGTGCAACAGGATTTTGTGATTCAGCAATGACTTCAAGTGTGATATCTGTTTTAACATTAAGATTTCCTAAAGTATATTATTTATAAAACATAGCTCATATACCTAGTAGACTTAATGTATTTTATTTACTCTATTTCATTTGCCCTTTTAGCATTAGTTTTTATATCTTGTAATTTTAATAACAACACATTTATATCTTTAATTTTATTGCAGGTTTTTGGGTTGCTAGGGCTATGTGCTGTTTACAAAATTAATAATCTTATAGAAAAAAAATAAATTGTAGTTCTTCCATGAACTTTATTTATAATTGTATTTTACAACAACTTTAACAGTTTATTATAAATTTAGAAAGTTAAATAATTAAATTAAATCTAGAATTTATTATAATAAAAAGTTAAATAACTCTTTCAATTATTGTAGTATGTCAAAAATAAATATTATCTTTAAGGTTATATTATATTTCCAACTATTATTCAAAATTAAATAATTAATTTCTGGTTAATTTCTTTTTTCTATTATTTATTAATTATATCTTGATAATTTGATATAATAAAAGATTAAGGTAAGTAGGTTTCTTTTATGATAAAGTTCTATTTATAAATGATAATACTTTATATCATTTTTTAATTTTAAGTTGTAATTGATTTGAATATAATGAATTTAATTAATATTCAAGTTCTTTAAATTATGTATTTAAAATTAATAAACAAATTAAATAACAATTAAAAATGATTATTCAAAAGTATAGATTAATCAAAAATTTCTAAATGAATATCAATTAGTAATTGATATAATATTCTCTAAAATTTAATTAGTTAATTTTTAATAAAATTTGACTATTGTTCTATCAATCGTTTATAAATAATTATATCTATTTACATTTTTCACTATTCTTAAGAAACTGTTAAAATTTATTGAAATGAAATTATTCTAAATCAAATATATATTTTTTTTCTTTGTTCTTCAAAATTAAAAATTTGATCAATTTAGTAATTAATTTAAACTTAACTACTTGAGAATTTATTTTACTTTAAAATACTTCTAAATGTTAATATTCCTGTTATAATACTTTGAAACCAGAGGCAGATAAGTTCGAGGTTCTGATTTGCCACTTTATCTATAAGTTAATCCATTCAATTTTGAAACCAATAATATAAAGATTAGTTCTAAATCTTTGGTTGCATCTCCAAAGCTTTACAGATTCTGATTATTTATATTCGTAGTATTATCTCTTTATATATGTAAATTTATAAACTTTTATTCGTTTTATATTTCTCTTATTAACAATTCTTACTGTCAGTCTATTTTATTAATTTTCTAAGTAAATTATTTTGTATATTTCTAATTTTAATTTTATGAATCAGAAAATATACATTAGTGATCAGTCGATTTTGGTAAATTTTTTAAATTTCACATAAAATTATAAAAATAAAAATTAAAAAAATTTATCTTTGATTTTCTCAGCAAAGTTTAATTTTCGTTGGAAGATTTTAAGACCCACTTTAAATGAATAAAAATAAAACTTCCAAAAAAAAAGAAATCATAAACAAAAATCATATTATCAAATAATACATGCCAATAAAATAATTAAAGGGATCACATCTTATTAAAATAAAAAATAACCATATTTAATCATTTATTGATTCTAAAGAGTTTTTAAGTTATTTAGAGAATTTTCCAAATATGGATGCTAATGAATTTAGAATTTTTATTAAAATCATTTATTAATATTTTGGAAATGTTTAAAAATGAGAAAAACAATAAGACCTCTTTTTAAAATAAAATTATCTATTTTACATCATAATCACCATTGTTAAATTCCATAAAGCTATATTATG